CCACATCCCTCTGTCTAGCTCTCAGTGCGATGTGATGTGCGATATGCGATCCATCCATCCATCAGATGTGTCAGTCAGTCAGGCCCACCGCGCCACTGTCTGGTTAACGGCCAGCATCTCGTCCCTCAGTGCGATGTAGCTCTGCTTGGGGCGGTAGGCTGCGTCGAAGAGGAGGGGGTAGTCGGGCCGGAACATGTCGCGGTTCAGCCACGTCGACTTGTCTACGATGCCCCACGTCAGGAAAGCCGTGCAGTTGGGCTCCTCCAGACACACACGCATGAACCGCCGGTACACGTCGGCCTGACAAACACAACACATACACAGGAGAGCGATCGGGACTCAAGCGGTTTCGCCCGCCCACCTGTTTCTTCTCAATCTCCGGGCCCCACTCATTGTCGTCGCCGCACTTGATCCAGTTGCCCGTTCCCTCTGGGGCTCCGACATGCTCCCAGCGGCCGCACGAGACATCCAGCTCGGTGAACTGCACCTCCAGGCCCAGCGCCCCCAGCCGCCTCATGTTTGCCCTTATCCCGTCAAAGAGGTCGTAGTCGTGTGTCACGTGCGACTGGAAGCCCACCTGCATACGCAGAGCACACGAGCAACTCATCAATCAAACATGGCACCAGCAGATGATGGTCAGCGTGGTGTCGTCAGTCACCCCGTCGACGGGAATGGCGCGCCTCTTCATGCCTTTCATCAGGTTGTAGAGGGCGTCCGACTTGCCGGCGCTGTAGCCGTCGGCAGACTCGCACCAGTACTCATTATAGATGAGCTTCATGGGCGGCATGGGGGTGTCGTGCAGGGCGTCGGCGGCTTTGGCGGCCTTGGAAGCCGTCACGAAGGCGAGATCAATGAACTCGGGGATGTCTGGGTACCACACGGTGTCGCGCAGCCTGTAGCCGCCCTTCCGCAGTTGGTCGGCGTCCTGAAAGTCGTCAAGGGCTGCACACACACACACACACACACAGAGAAAAGAGAGAGAGAGTGACAAAGGGGTACACAGGAGGGCGGCGGGCGAGTGAGCCTGTGTGTCTGGTCTGCTGCTCACACACACCCTCATTGACAACGTCCCAATGGATGAGATTGGGGTACTCGGGCGTCCTGAACCGCTCCACCATCCTCTCAATATGCCCCACAAGCTGGTTCCTCTTATCGGCAGCACTTAGCGTGGGCAGCCACACCCCCACATTCCCATAATTGACGTCCATGTACCACAGCAGCGTGTGAAACCGCGCCTTCTGCCCGTTGGCCTTGGCAAGCCTGAAGATCTGCTCGCAGGCGTCAAAGGCAATGTTGTCGAGGTCGGCGTCCGTCCGGGTCGTCCACCACTTGCACTCTCGCTCGGCCGAGATGACTCCCAGCTCCTCCTTGACGATCTGCTGATAGGCTGCCTCGCCGCCATATCGGCACCTGGGGTTGTTCTGGGCGTCGAGGGGCGCCTGGCAAATGACCGACCCGAAAGCGATGCCCGCCTTGGCCGCTGCGGCCTTGAGCGACCCCACCCACTGAGAGGAGCTCTCCCCATTGGCTGCCTGAATGCCAGTCAGAGCCAAAGTAGTGTTCGTCAGTGGCGAGCTGCCTGAGAGCCAGCAAACAGCACATCAGATGGGATGGGATGGCGGGGCGTTTTGGCATCCTCTCACCGCCTGTGTCCACAGTGAGGTTGACGGTGTAGATTGTCGGTGAGGCGTCCCCGTCCCTCAGCACCGCAGCCTCCAATGTGTGATCCCCATCCAGCAGGAAACTGTGGTCCGACGCCTCCTGCAGCACCCTCAGCGCCCTGCTGGCCTTGGCGGCGCCCTCAAACACACTGCCGTCGCGGGGAAACAGCGAGTACGGCGGGAGGCTGGCCTGGTGGTGGAAGACATTCTCCCCGGAGGTGTCCGTGACTGTGAAGTCGACGGAGACGATGGGCGGCAAACCTCTGATGTGCTCGGGGTCTGGCTGGAAGAGAATGGTGATTGGGTCGGGCAGGTTGGCCGGGAGGGGGAAGGGGCTGCTGGTGAGGGGGAGGGCGTTGAGCAGGCGGCCGTTTGTGGCGTCGACGAAGCTGAGGAGGAAGACCTGTTCCTCGGGCGCAAACACACTTTCCTGAGCATCTGCACACAGACAGACAGACAGACAGACAACGTTGCAGACAGGGGCCGCTGCAACGTTGCTGTCTTGTGACCTGCAAATAGTTGTGCCACCGCCAGGGACGCGCAGATAGGCCAAAACAGCTGCATTGAATCGTAAAGGTACTTGAATGCCAGGTAGAAATAAAGGTACTTGAATTGTAAATCAGCCGTTGGAAGCAGACGCAGAATGATCCAGCGGATATCTCGCAGTTACTTGTTGCCCTGAGAGTGCGCAAAACCACCCCCTGACTCCTGAGGAAGCGCGGAGATGGAGGCGCTCCTTGCTCTCGTGTGTGCCGTCGTCTTGATGACGGTGATACCTGGGTGGGCAGCACCCCCACAGAGCAAGAAGCCAAGGGCAGGCCCGTCATTGAAGAAGCCTGAGGAGTCTAAGCCTCTGCGACCACCATTGAAGCGGCACCGGATGAGGCCGAGGCAAAAGGCTGTGACAACCTTCGAGCCCGAGAGGCCGGGGAAAGGGGAGCTGTTCGACGAGTGCGATGAGGTGCGCCACGCAGAGCTGCCCGCCGGATTCCGGGCGTGCGTCGTTGCAACGGGGCTGCAGTAGGACAGCAAAGAGAGAGAGAGAGAGAGAGATGGGTGGGTATGATGCGCCTGGCTGTCTATATGCTGCTGCTGCTGTTGCTGTTGTGTGTGTGTGTGTGCAGGCAGCCCCGTCAGCTGGTGGTGTCGAATGAGACTGATGACGCCATTGTGCTGGTCGACAGGGTGGGGTGCAGCTTCTTGCTGCCAGGTGGGCTGGGTCGGGGTGTGGGGAGTAGTAGCGTCTGGGCATATTTCTCTGTCTTTCCTCTCTCTCTGTCTCTGTGTGTGTGTGCAGACCAATGTGACGCCATGTGCGGCCAAAGTAAGCAAGCCTCGGAGGAAGGAATGGTCCGCTTGGACCTTCTCACTCACGACCCTTTGGTTGCTTCTTTTCCTCCTTGTGCAGGTGGCAATGACAGTATCATCACAATGAAGGACCTCAATCGCAACGGGGTGTGTGAGTGAATGAGTGAGTGCACCTCGACGGTCAGACTGTGTACTGTACCTCTCGTCCCTCTCTCTGTCCAGCTGATCGACAAGAACGAGAGGTACGTCTTGTGGGAGGGCGACGAGTTGCGGCTCAGCCACGGTGAGCCAGGCAACACAAACACACACTCACACGCATGGCTGGTCGCTCGACGCACACGCGCCATCCATAAGCTGTGCTGCTGTGTTGTGTGTAGGGCTTGCTGTCCACCGCGGCTACCTCTTCGCCAGCAATGCGACACACGTCATGAGGTGGGTGAGGTGACCTGGGCGCCTCCGCCATTGTTCAGAAGGGGATTTTTGCCATCCCGTGTGTTGTGTGCGTGTGTGGTTGTGGTTGTGTGTGCAGGTGGCCTTACACGCCAGGCCAGACGTCTCCTCTGAACGAGAGCCAGCGTGTGGTGGTCATGACCGGCATGAACATCGGGGGCTGCGGGGCTGCCGCCCTCGGACACCTCGTAAGTCGGTGTGATGTGCAAACAGTGCACACTGCTTGCTGCGGATTATGATCATCATTGCAAGCTGTGGTGTGTGTTGTGTGTTGTGTCTTCTTGTGGTGTGTGGTGTGTGGCAGACGAGGACTCTGATCGTTGACGACCAGGACCGGCTGTATGTCACCATCGGGAGCTTCAGAGACTCGTGGCCAGGTAGGCTATCTATCGCCTTTCTATGGACAATATGCCTACGTGTTGTGTTGGTGCTGTGTTTGTCAAGGTGATGAGGACTCATCCAGGGCGAGAATACAAAGGTTGGTTGGCAAGAATGAGTGAATGGACCGATGACACACCAGGGAGGGAGGCGGGAATATTTCTGTTGTTTGCTCTTTCAGGTTCGAGAACGTGACAGACCCGCTGGTCCTCCACACGTACAAGACACAGAACTGGACAGACGGGGAGGTCTTCGCGGTGAGTGAGCCCATGCCTCTCATCCATCCATCCATCCATCCATCCACAGCCCTCCACTCCCTGCCACCCACCCACCACGTCTGCCTGTCTCTGTCTATGTCTGGGTGGGGTGGGGCAGGACGGCACGCGCAACACAGTGGGGCTGGCCTTTGATCCAAAAGGTGACACACACATGAATGACAGAGACACGATGGATGGATGCCATGATGGCATCAACAGTCGCATGTGACTGACTGACTGACTGACCGATCGCAGGCCGACTGTGGGGCGTCGACACGAATGACGACTTCATCACACACGAGGAGCTTGGCGGAGACGACGTCCGGGAAGGTACACACACACCCTCGCTGTCTCCACTGATCTCCTCTCCCCTGCAGACAACCCCTCGGAGGAGCTGAATCTCTTCACTGAGGAGCGAGCCGGCAGGTCCTTCGGCTACCCCCGCTGCTGGACAGAGGGACGACTCGGCCCCAAACACGCACGCGGCCGCGGCTCACAGTGGTCCGTCCCGGGCCGCAACGACACCTACATCAAGGGCCAGGGCCGCAGCAACGACACCACACGCTTTCTCAATGACACCTGGTGCCAGAACATCTCCAACAACCAGCCGCCCGAGCTGCCGCTGCAGGCGCACGCCAGCCACATCGGCATTGCCTTCCTGGGCGGCAAGGGGAGCAGCGACAGGTGGCGGGAGAGGTGTGAGGAGACGGGGGAGAGTGCCAACGGCGGCTTTCCCTGTGAGTATGGGGGCGATGCCTTCCTGGCTGCCCATGGGACCTACCAGGCCGAGGATTGCCCGCCGTGCGACAGCCGGTCGCAGCTGGCGGGCTACCAAGTCAGTCGCGTGTTGATGGACGAGGATGGGATGCCCACTGGGGAGGTGCTCAAGCTACTGGCTGAAGAAAGTAAGCCTTGCATGAGGGCCAGATACAAGCAACCACCCTGTGTGTGTGTGTAGCCGGGAGCAACGATTGGGATGTTCGGCCAGTCTCGACTGCCTTTGACAGCGAGGTCAGTCAGTCGTCGAAAGATGATACCACACCACACCAACCATACGTCTCAATTAGGTCTTCTCTTGTCTCTATGTGTCAGGGCCGGATGTTCGTGTCGGATGACGGGACCGGCCAGATACTCATGGTGAGTCAGGAAAGGAGAGCAAAGGAGAGACACCCACCTGTTTGCCTTTGCCGCGTACATACACCAACCAGGTGTACTACAGAGCGGCCCTCGCAGAGACCGCCATCACCGAGTCCCCATCCCCCCTGCCGCTTGTGGCCGGATTCACACCCGCCCAGCCACCCAAGTGTGACCCCGCCAGAGCCGCAGAAGCCCCATCAGGCCGGTCACCCCTCGCCATGCACAAACACATCAGCCAGTGCGCCTCAAGCTGCCTTGAGAGGGGGTCGTCGCAAAGAAGCACTGCTGGCTTTGACGGCGACGGCGGGGGCATCGCGGACTTGTCGATGGCGTCAGCTGCGATCGACAAGAGCTGTGAGGGCTTCTCTGTGGACGTCAATGGCACGTGTGCGGTGCATCCCGACGAGGCAATGCACAAAGCGCAGGGGAGCCCGCCGTGCACAAAACTGACGTACAGGAGGGCGGCGCCGCCCGAGGGCTACTTCGAGAAGGGCGTAGGCAGCTGCAGGGCCTTCTCGGCCTACCCCGCGCCCCTCAAAAGAGGCAAAAAATTCTCCATGTCCTACTCACGGCTGGTGCCCGCCGGTCCGAACGCCAAGACCATCGACTTCGCCAACTGTGTCAATGCGTGTGACGACTACGGGGGCAAGAGCAAGTGGTGTGTCGGGCTGGACTACGACTACGCCAACAGGTCCTCCTACCCCTGCCACCTGTACGTGGCGGCAACCAAGGGGAAACTGGTGTACGCGCCTGTGGACCACCGGCTGACGCAGCGGGCGTACCAACGGCCGGATCGGTGGTGCCTCGGCCGCGACGTGCCGCGGGAGATACTTGAGGAGGCCGAAGCGGCCATGAAAAAGGTGAAGCTCACCACAACAGAAAAGCCGAAGCTTAAGAAGGCAGAAAGGAAAGGCCACAAGCAGACAAGAAGTAGTGTGTGAGCGCAGTTCAGTTCAGCTCAGTTCAGTTCAGTCAGGTGCGGTGGATGCATCCCATCATGGCCACGCCATCCATCGGTGCGTGTCGATGGCATGGCGATGGAGAGAGACACGTGTATGCGCTGTTGGATTGCTGGACGGCTCGGCTCATTGGACTATGCTATGTGGTGTGGTGTATGTGATGTGCGTCCCTAGGGTACAGCGAGCGGCGGCCGGGTGGTCGGTGGCGGCTTGCTGTGGGTGGTGGTCTTAGCAATTCACACACTATTCCACCGCCACCCTCCATGACAGACATGACTGACGTACGTGTGGTGTGCAGCGGGAGACCGAGGCAGTGCGTGTGTGTGTGTGTGTGTGTGTTCGTCCTGTCTGCCTGTCTGCCTGCCTGCCTCGCTCGCAGAGCCTTTTGCTATGTCGATGAGTGTGTGGCCGTCACTGTGGATAGGGTATGGTAGGGTTTGTGGCACTGATGAAAGTCTTTGGTGTCCCTATCTGTTTTGTCTGCATGCCATGTGTGCTGTGAGTGTGTCGTGTCGCCCGTCGTGTCACTCATTGACGTCATGATACGATGGATGGACCGGCGGTGATTTAAACTTATCGCATTCGTGGAAGCATTGTCACGAACACGCCCGGAAACAATCAAGGGCGGACCCGACAGTGGCAATTCTCCGCTGCAGCTGTCATGGCCATCATGATTATGTAGCTGCACAAGGAACGCACCAACGATGTCACAAGACACGCACCAGTCCTAATTGATGTCCATCCATCCGTCCATCCCCTGGCTGGCTGACGGACTGACACATGCATTGCAGACCAAAGGCCGACATCACCTCCCTACGCACTGCCTGCCTATCCCACTGTTTGACTGGATGATATGTACACACATCGATACTCTCACTCGTTGCCCGCCCGCCTCACCTCACATCGGTCGCATCGCATCAACACACCCGGCCCACACGCACGATCCATGCATGGGTGTCACACATCTATACGACACACGGAGGGGTCATGTCATGCCGCCCTGGGATGGACCTTCAGGCTCACGCCTCCAGTGAGAGCGTCCAGCAGCCGAGACAGGAAGGACGTCAGCGCCAGGAAGCCCCCTGACCGACCACACACACAGGGAGGGAGAGATGGAAAGGGGCCAACGTGTGGCCGGGCTGGATCGGCCGGTCGGTCGAATGAATGAATTAATGAGCTGATGAGGGAGGGGAGGCGACGTACCAAAGATCTTGCAAAGCTCGACCAGGTAGGCGGCATACGACATCTCCTGAGCACACGAACCGAACCACCGATGAGACGACACGACGACCCACACATGGTATGGATGGTATCAGTTGTCTCCTGTCCCACCTCCCAGTAGTACTCGACACGAATGGGATCGATGTCGTAACGAAAAAACACTGCGGGCATGCAGGAGGACCACACCACACCACACCGTACTTAGGCGGGCTGCAGACCCGGGGTTGGCTTGACACAAGCAAGAAACATACGTACCTGCGGGCCCGACGAGTTCGCTGGTAATAAAAGAGCTGGCCGACAGCTGGTACCCCCTGGCAGCCTCAGACGCGCCTGCCGGCTGCAATGACGACGGGATGACCGTCAGGTAATACTGCACACACAGACACAGACACAGACGCACACATGAGAGAGATGACCTACACACGCCTTACTGTATGAGCGGGGGGTGTCGGTCGCCGTCTGACTGACTGCCTGACTGACTGACCTGGAATGTGTATGCAGGTGGCGACCGAAAGTTGTCCAGCGGGATGCGATTCTGATAGGGAGCAAAGCACAGAGTGAGTGATGTCGGCTCGGTTCCCCCCACCCATCCTCACCCCTCCCTCTACCGTTACCCCACCTGCAGCTTGGTGAGCGCCCACTGGTGTCTCCATGAGTGCTTCTCATCCTCCTCTGGGTCGCTGATGGACAGGTGGTGGATGGTGTGCTCCATGTCCACACGGCCGCCGCCAAACGCCTGGACAGACAGTACACACGGACCGCACGCAAGGAGCCACAACATGACATGAGCAGGGCAAACAGACAATGAACGAACGATGAAATCACCACCGACTGACATTACCGATCTGAGGGCTTCTTGTGGCAGGGCGTGCGTGGCGATGTGGAAGTTGCCCGGCACCTGCATCCATTTATCAAATCAAACACGACAGTGGACTGGACAGGGCTCCCCATCAAATGGAATGTGCTTTCTCACTGCCTGACCCGATAGGTATCGAAGTAGCCATAGATCTGACACGTCTCGTCACGCTGCTCTCGTAACTTGGCCAGCTGCACACACACACACACACACACACAGAGGGAAGGGATGGCCATGTGTGTCGTGTCGTGTACGCACCTCAGCTTCGTGGAACGAGGGCAGCACGGGCAAAAAGTACTGCACCATACCACCTGGCCGCGAGTGCTGAATGACGGCAGCAGGCGCAGGAGCAGCAGCAGGGGCCACCTTGACAGCGGCGTCCTCGGCCGTCAGTCTCCGCCGCCTTGCCGACACCTCCACGTCACCCTCATGCTGCTGCTCCTGCTGACCTTGGTGCTGCTGTTCTTGCTGCTGCTGCTCTTGCCCCTGTCCGTCCCCCTGCCCGACTTGAGCAGGGCCCCCTGCTGCCTGCTGATCCTGCGGTGGTGGTGCCTGAGCATCGCCGTCCTGCCCGCTGGCCGCTTCCTTCGGTGGTTGCCTTGCGGCCTCCTCGGCTGGCTGCGCAGGGGGTGCTGCAGGGGGAGGGCCATCTGCTTTTGGCTGCTCCTGCTTCTGCTGCTGCTGCTGCTGAACTGGCGGCAGTGGCTGCTCCGGCTCGTTGGCCTTGGCCATGTCTTTCTGCTGCTGGACGGCCTCCTGGATGCTGCGGTGAGAGTCGGGGGGCGGCTGCCTGGGTGGCATGGGGGGCAGCACTGGTGGAAGGGGGGACGCTATGGACCTGGACGGGATCTGGCCAGCTGACATGGGAAGAAGGATGTGTGGCTGTGTTGGTTGGCTCGTGCGCGTGTGTGTCTGTGGCTGCTTGCCTTTTACGGCCTGTTCGAGCACTTTGTCGTCCTGTGCGAAGTGTTTGAAGGTGCCCGGTGCACCTTGCTGCTGGTCCTCCGTCTTGGCGGCCTCCTTGGGCGCCATGTCGTGGTCGTGAGAGGCCAATAGGTCCTTGGCCGTCACGCCCGTCTTCGGCTGGGTGTGCTGGGCTACACGCACAACGACAGACAGACAGGACATGCCATGGGAGAATTCAAGTGTGTGTGTTGGTTCAGATGGGATGCGCTTGCCTTGTTCGATGATAGATGGGATGACCTGGCCCAGGTTGAAGTCGCCGAGACGAATAATGGTTGGAGGCCTGTACATGGACGCCGCCTGCGGGTCATTCCTGACGCACACACCCATGCATGCATACGGATGACCAAGCGGACATCTCCTTTTCTCCCTCCCGCATATGTACCCACCTGCATTGTTCGACATCCTCGATCCTGGGCAGAGCCCATCTTCTCAGCCGGTAGGCCAGCATCACGTCCGAGCAGGTGTTGCAGCAGTCGTCGTCACCCCCCGCGCCGTAGCACGTGCCACACGTCTCATTCTTGCCTCCCTGCAGATCCATATGAAGGGAAGCCTCCCACTCCTGTCACATCAAACTGGTATGTGTATCCTTCGATCAAGGCCCACCACTTTTAATGACGGTCCCGTCACGGATGTGGATTTCCTTTGCATGCCTCCCTGACTGGGGTCGTTCATCGAATCACGAGTTCTCAGAGGCCTGCATGCACAGTATCCACCATCACACACACACACACACACACACAGACAGACAGACAGACAGGCGTGTGTTTCTTCGGTCCTGGTGTGTGTGTGACCAGAGAGCGTTTCTTCGGCCCTGGTGCTGGCAGTGTCAGCTGACCTGCCAAATCTGTCGAGCCTCTTCTTGAATATGGTGCTGCGCACATCGACCACGTGTGAGCCCATGGCATCCTGGATGGACACACACTCACACAGTCAGTGGCTGGCACGTCTGTGTAGAGCGACGGACAGACAGACGGCGTACTGTACCGAGAAGTCGAGGGAGATGGCCGAGCACGGCAGCGAGTGCAGTGTCATGTTCAGGTTCACACGCATCTTCTTCATGTCGGGCCCAGTGTCAATCACAAACCTGTAGCCTCAAGCACTTACAATCAATTACACGCAGCCGGCCGAGCACACAGCCCGCGATGCGATGCGGCTGTGTTCACTTTGCTTGCTGACCTTCTTCTGGGTTGCGGCGTGAGGAAGTTCTGCAGGCTGGTGTAGCCGAAAAAGACGATAAAGGCGAGGCACAGCAGCGAGAGGAATGAGTGATAGGGCGGCTCGGTCTGACTGCGGATCTCATACGGGATCTTGCTGCACCACACACACACACACAGACAGGCAGCAGTGCAGTAATGCGCAGTCAGTCAGATCTGGCGCACCGAAAGAAGTCAAAGTCGCGAAATCCCATGGCTGCGCAAGATCTGTACTTCTGCCTCCTAGCAATAGGTCATCCCTTCACTGCACGCGTGAAAGCTAAGCTCGCAGACGTCGAGGGTTTCTCGGGTTCAGGGTTCGTTCCAGAAAAGCCCTGGAGAGGGTCTCGACAACAGCGGGACCTTCGCTGTTGTCGAGTTGTTCACTTCTTTTGTCGCTCTGTCCACTTTTTTGCGTCGTCCGTCCCTGTACTGACCATTTGGTACTGACTGGCGTCGAATCGTCTCATTCTGCTCTCTCTACGCTGTCCGATGCCGAAAGCGGTATGTCAGGGCAGCAGGGCGTGCATGCAGTAGCCGCATCCACCGGCAGCCTCACACTGATACGAACAATGTGTGTGTGTCATTGCAGGGCTCGAAGAAACCCGCATCAGGCCGCAGCCAGCCCTACTGCAAAGGCGGCAAGACCAAGAAGGCCAAACAGAAGGCGACTGACCAGGTGCAGCTCACGATTCAGCGGCAGAATGCCGCCGAGCGAGAGGCCGTGTTCGGCAATGGCGGGATGGCGAAGCTCCAGGCCATGACGCCCGACTACAGTGAGGCGGCGTTCAAGAACAACCTGACGGTGGCACAGCACCCCTCCATCATTCCCGCACACAAGAGCCGCGTAAGGAAGCAAATCACACACACGCACTCTGACCATCCGGCGTGTGTGCATCGTGTGGTGGCTGTGGTGGTGTGGTGTGTGCAGGACCGTTATGAGGTGTCTGAGGAGTTCGTGCAGGGCTGCGGCAACACGTTCAAGCAGTTCCGCGCCTTCGCGGTGGACCGTGTGGCGGACGGCTGCGACCGCATGGACGTGGCGAGGGCGGCCCAGCGCCTGGCTGTGCGCCTCTTCGACCACTATGAGCACAAACGTAACTCCACACACACACACAGGGGATACACACACTGAACTCATTCCCTCTTTGCTGTGGTGTGGTGTGTTGTGGTGTGCAGTGTGGCAGCAGCGGAAGGACGAGACCGACCTGCTGGTCCGCAACCCAATGGCGGTACGTCAAATCAATCCACACACACACAGACAGACCCGAGAGCCGTGTGTGTGTGTGTGTGTATTGTGTCTGTCAGGTGGGTTTCGCGTGTCTGTTGATAGCGTCCAAGTACGAGGAGAAGGTGCCGGTGCCGGTGGCCCAGCTGGTCGACCTCATCAACGAGGTGCTGGCCAGCGGCATGAGGGACCGCACCTACACCGCCGTCGACCTCCTCAACTTGGAGATCCACATACTCATGTGCGCCCGCACACAGAGGGAGGGAGGGAAGGGTGACACTTGTGTGTGTGGTGCTTGCAGGACGGTCGGCATGGAGTTGCCGGACTCGACTGTGGTCACGTTTGCTGATCGGTTCGCCAAGGCGGGCGGCATCGCCATGGGCTCCATGGAACACGCCTTCGTCCACTTCCTCCTGGTGAGTACACACACACACATCTCAACACCACAGCACACCATGGCACCACTCATATGTCTGTGTCGTGTTTGTGTGTGTGTGTGTGTGTGTGCAGGAGCTGTCGTTGACGGACTATAACTTCTCCAAGTACAAGGCCAGCATGACCGCGGTATGGACACACACACACACACACACAATAGACACACACACATACAAACCAACGCCCATTTCTCGCCTCGCCCTCACTGTCTGTGTGTGGTGTTGATGACATGCTCCCATGCCATCGATCGGTCAGGCTGCTGCCGTATACATGAGCCGCAAGAAATTTCTGCTCCAGGAAGGCCAGCCGCTGCACGGCGAGAGAAGCTGGGTGCGTCTGACGGAGGAAAAGGAACACACCATGGATGTCGTGACGGCTGGGTGTTTGTCGTTTGTGTGTGTGTGCAGACGGACACGTTGGTGACAGTGACGGGCATCAAGAAGGGTGCGCTGTTTGGCGAGTGCGTCACGCGGCTCGGCGACCTGGGGAGGAGCTACGGCAAACCCGACCAGGCTGTGGTGCGTCTACACGGCAGGCGCTCACTCTCACGGATGGACACACACACACTTCTCTGTGCGGATCTGTGTTGATGCAGTGCCAGCATGACGCGCTGATAGCTAAGTGGTCGCTGCCGGGCTACTTCGGCATCGGCAGCATCTTGTACTACTGATGCCCACACAAACCCCGAGACACACATACACACACACTGAAGTGAGCGACCAAGCACCACCACAGCCAGCGCACAGGCAATGTGCGATGTCATTACCTGCCGTGTGTGCAGCTGACTGTTTGGTTGACTGCTTGGCTGGTGGTGATGCACTGACGGCGGGGCTGCATGCTGATGGGAGCCCCACCCTTACACACACACACACCACACCGATCCCCATACTCACCGTAGAGAGCGGGCGGGCGGATGAATTCATGGGCGAGACGCCACCGCCAGTGAGATCGATGTTTCTTTTGTCGTAAGGGGGCACGCCAAGTCACATAAACACACACAGTAGGTGGTGCAAAAGACGCCGACCGACTGACCACATGATAATACACAGGCAAAGAAGGAAGGACTCTCTTGGTGGAATTGCAAAACCGGCTGGCGTGTGGGGTGAATGGATGGTTGACGGTGTGGTACGGGGGTGGGCAGCATGATGGATGGATGGACGGATGGATGGATGGATGGATGGACGGCAAGCGGCCTGACGCGAGAGACATTCATTACATGAAGCACTTATGTACGTGTAAAGGTCGATGACACGACACCATGGTCCATCACCCCAACGCCCCCTCTGATACAACCAATGCCACCGGCCCTTCCTCCTGGGCCGCCGCAGACACGCAGACACCGAACGAGCCAGGCACACTGACAGCCGCGCCCGAATCCATTGCTCGACCCGGCCGACACCATATCTGTCCCATCCGCCCCTCTTGTTGATGAGCTCGGCCAACCGGCGAATGAAGCGATCGGCCTCCCTCCCATAGACGCCGTCACACGTCACGGCAGCCGCTTACCGACCGTTCCTGTCGTTGTGCAGTAAAAGCCCTTGCTTTTGTTGGGGCGAATGCTTTTGAGCAGCCGCAGGGGCGGGGTGGAGCAGTCTGGGCCAAGGCTGAGCTCCATAGCTCGAGGGTCCGACGTCTTGGCCGGTGCAGGGATCCAATGGGGCGGCGGCTTGACGATCTTCCCGTCTGCGTCGACACGCGCACACCTGCCGATGCCCACGCCGCTCACATCGGGCCCCCCCATCGCGCTGTCCCCATCGCGAATGCTAACGCGCTTGACTATACACGTCTCGCCCTTGGGGCAATCGAAATGGCGGTGGTAGGAATAGCCGTTGTAGTAGTGCTTCTCGTACTCGATGCTCGCCTCCGATCGGTAATGTACGAAGGAGAGGACGCACATCTTTGGCCCCGGCTGGAACGACGCGCGGCCGAGGGAATCTGTGGCAGACAGACACAACAAAAGATATGGCATTGCATGCAGACAGAGCAATATATGGCCTCTGGCCTTCTGCATGCACGGCAGGGTGTCGGTTGCCCGTTCGTACCGCTCAGGGCGCCACTCTGTGACTGCATGGGGATCCTGTTGGCATCGGCCAGATCCTGCTGCAATGCCGCTGCTGCCGCAACAAAACACAAAATCATATATCAGGCCCGTTTCCCATGCAATGTGCCCATATCACCGTCGCATTGGTGGGTGGCGCAGGAGAGAAGGAGCAGCAAGAGAACGAGGGGAGGCGCTATCGGAGCTTTCTTCGTCTCCCGGACCGTAGGCCCCCATAGAGTTCCGATTCACTGTTGGCCCCAAAAGGGAAGACGCCCCCATCGTGCCCTCACAGAAGTGACAGACGGAAAGAATCAATGGGGGAGGTCAACGAAGTCACTATTGCTGAAGTCATCATCGACACGCCAGCTTCCTCACAGGAACAGCAGCAACCCATCACGAAGCTCAGCGACGAGAGCACGGGCGCGGCTGCGGCTGCGGAGACCTGTTCAGAGAAGGGGGCTGGGGACAATGAGGGCGGAGAAGAAGATGGGCAACCATTGCGGAGGGAGGAGTGCGAGTTGGCGGCCATGGTAGCTGAGTTTCGACTCTGTGCGGGACCTGCAGCCTCCTTTCAGGAGTTCGAGACTCACTTACGCTATGAAGGGGATTCTTTTGTTGGTGCTGTGTTCACCCCGGAGCCCTTTTGGAAGACAGTGAGGCGGACGGCAAAGGTACTCGTCTTCCAAGTGGCCGCTGCGGCAACCATCGCATCTATTTGGTCTCTGATTTGGGTGGGATACTGGTGGGTCTGCTGTGCGAGAGGACGGTGGATGACAGTGCTTGATGTCGCTCGCCGGATTGTTATTGCCCTATGCTTTGTCACTATGGTGCTTCTCGTGGCTGAAGGCAGCTTTCGTGGGGCCCTCCATCGCTTGACAACCACGTGGCCCTTCTTCGCTCCCGCCGTCATCATACACGTCGGCGCTGTTGTGTTCTTCCACGTGGAGGTCTTGCTGCCTTACCGCATCATTGCGGTCTGTTTCATTTATACGCAGATGATCGTCCTCCCATTTGCGTAAGGAAGGAATAGATGAAGGACACTCTTAAAATTGCAGCTCACACTCTCTCGTGTGCTCCCCGCAGGGTCTTCCGCCAGATGGCTCGGACATCGAGGACAGTCGTGAGGAAGCGGCGCTATGTCCTCCAAATGGGGCTCGTATTCTTTCTGCTAGCGACTATTCCGTCTTCAACACGATCCTACTTCCTGCCGCTTGCCAAAGACGCAGCGAGCGGTGGCGGAAGTGCTCGCGGCAGGAGCATTGTCGTCATCACTTGGTTGCTCGCAATGTCTCCTGTTGTTGCACTCTGTAAGGACATCGTAGTGCACCATTCTCGTATGCCTTCAATTGGCCTTCAGTGACGGCGCTGGTCCGTTCATTGCGCGACGGTCCTGCACTGCAGACGGGTCCGGCGATCTCTTATCCGGCTGTAGTTTTGGTTCTCTTTCCACGGATCGTACAAGCAGAGATGCAGCATCTGTCGTCTCAGGTGAGTTGGACTATGCTGCCTGTGCCTTGTCCAAATTCCTCTTCCTTCTCTCGTCTCTTCCCAGGTTTTGACCTCACTAATCCTTGCGTCATTCGACTTGTATGTGCCCATAGCCACAGCACAACAGAGATGCATGCATGCGTGTGTATATATGTGTGTGTGCATGTGTATGTCAGAGTATCTGACATGGCCATCCCATATGGTTGGTAACAGACATGACACTCTGTCTGTCTCTCTGTCTGTCTGTCTGTGCATGCAGTGATGCTTCTTGGCGGTGCAGCTAAGAGAGCTTTGGTGCGGTGCCTGCTGTCATGCGAAGCACGCAGGAAAGTCCGACATCAGCATTCAAATGACACGTCCCACACCATCGCTGCCGAAGACACCAAAAACACTAAAGAAACAATCACCGACAAGCAGCCTCCGGCCAAACTGCTCAGCCGTCTGTCAAGTACCGTGATGAGCTTCTACACAAGGAGTCGCACAGGTGACAGCACTCTTTTCAGCCGCCAATTGCTGAGGTCCTTGAGCTCGTTTCTCGATGTCCCCACACGAGTTGTCCAGTTCAGGCTTCACCCAATATTCCTCAGAAGACTCAGCGACGTAAGGGAGGAGCAAGTGAATTGTCTTCATACCTTCAAATCCACGTCTCGCTGTTCTGGCTGATTTCCGTCGATCAGCGATGAATGCAGCAGGTGCACGCTTACGGATTGGTGGAACTTACGGTGCTCATTCTCACCAACCTATGCATCATCACTCTCGACCAGGTGCTGTCTCCATCGGTTCCGCAGCTGCTTGAAAGGATGGCTGGTCTGCTGATCATGGTGTTTATCGAGCTGGTCTTTGAGGGCGTGCTGTTCATCTGGTTGGTCCGGTCCGCCGATTTGCCCCTCCTTAGAAGCATGGCGGAGCCCGGTTCTATGAAGATGTATGTAGTCGGACTGGCGATCGGCGGCGGCCTATGTATGCTTCGTGGAGGGCCATACTTTGTGCTGTGGAACTTGAGCGCTGTGGATGAAAGCAGATACGGCCAAATGGGGATGCAGGAGTTCTGTCCATATCACTCGACCCTGCAAGGTCTGCCATAGGCTTCGTGATGACTTGTGTACGCGTAGAGATGAGATCAAGGAGTAGGTATAGAGCGGTAAACGACTGTCTGGCCTGCCTTGTGAATATACCAACGGTATGGCATGGCACAAGGGACTTTTGCTTACGTCAATGTGTCATTTGTGGCAATTAACGAATGTGGACAATGCTGAGACACTCTTGACGTGAGTGGCTGGGATCTCTTTGTCTTCGAAGCCTGTATGCCTGGCCGTCTCGCTGATGTTCACTGAAGAATTTTCTTGATGTCTGTCGTGTCTCTCCTCATTCGCAGGGTCGTCAATCACTCATATGCGATATGCGGCTGTAAATGTATATATACACGTACTTATGTCTCATCTGCATTTCCGCTTTCCTTCCATGTATATCCTTGTGTATATCAATTTGTATGTACGCGCCGTCCAGACCTCGCCAGTCGATCTCTCGTTCGCTGCCCGTCTTTGTGTGCCGTACATGGTTGTTGCTCGGCGTTTCCTTCTTACTTTCGTGTAGTCGTTGCACTGACGGCCTTGAGTTATGGATGGACTTCTGTGTCCTTCTATCTACCGTAGATCAACCCCGTATCTACCGTGGAATCACGTCACCCTCCGGCCGCGGCCCCCCGAGCCGCGGCCCCGTTCGGCCCCTGGTTTGTCCCTGCTCTCCCCTCCGGCCACCTCCCCTCTTCTTCTCCTCCATGGATGCCACTGCCTCCAGCAGTCTCGCGTCCAGTCGAAGGTGAGCGACAATCACAACGACCTCCCCCACCCACCCCCAAATGATCCATGACGGATGCTCCTTCCATTGTGGGTGCATGCGTGGCTGATGGATGCAGGTTCTGCATAAGCGACAGCAGCCACATCCACTACCTCAACCATTCCCTCGGGCTCGTTTCGGATGCACATGAGGTCAGACTCAATGAATGGCCCCCCTTCCCTCATGACGTGCACTGCTCATGCCGCCCATGCAGCGTCTGCGGCGGCATGAGCACGTGACAGACGAAGAGCTGCTCATGACGGGGGTCTCCAAGGAGGGGCACGGTGACCGACCAAGCAGTCAGAGAAAAAAGAGGAACGTGTGTTGTCTGTCGTTTGCTACTCATGCGCACACAGGGCGGGCTGCCTACTTGAAGTCCCGCAAAAGGCTCAGCCCACAGGAGCGGTAGGCAAAGGCCAACACCTGAGAGACCGTATGTAACGCTTCAAGCGCCTGTCTGCCTGCAGCTATCGGCGTCCGATGACGGCCAGCCAGGAGATCGGCTGGAGGGCATGGGAGCCGCCGAAGAAGACGAGTTTCTACGTGCGGAAGCCGCTCATCCAGGCCACCTTCTACCGACCCACAGGCGTATGCCGCCGGCCCATTCACAGAGAGACACGGATGCCTTGTGCTGTCTGATATCTCTCTTTGTTTGTGCTTGCAGGCGTTCGATGCCTGGAAGACTGACAAATGACCGTGGTGGCGCTGCGCAGGAGGAGTACATTGGAATGCACGTGTGTGTCTCGTTGAGTCAACTCTTGCACGCAAAATGCAGAAGGAAGGATGGTCAGCCTGATTGAGGATTCAATGAGGAATATACATTACATATGTCGTGGGCCAATGTATACGGACTTACACGAGCTGCTGTACACTGCATCCAACGCTCGTCAGATCACTCACTGATAGGACGAGTGAGCGCATGTACGCCACACACTGATCCTTACTAGATGCCCTCAGGAGTCTTCCTTCTTGACCACTGGGGCCGCCATTCTCCCACCTGCACCATTCGACGGGTTCGTCAGCTCATTGAGACGGTCCAGCACTCGGGCAATCAAGAAGGGGGCCTGTTGTGTTTGTCATCGCGACACAGACGCAGAAGGAATCACACGCACACACGCGTGAGTGACGAACCGGCAGGTGTGGTGAAGGCCATCCCATCGACTTACCGTAAGCCCGAGTCCCCTTAGATCATGCTCATTGAAGCGACTGAACGTCCTGACAGACAGACAGACAGACCGACAAAGGCGTTGCACACAGCAAGATGCATGTGCTGCTGACCCCTCCCTGCCCTCTTACTTTCCGTCGACACCGAACCGCTCGCAGGCAGCGGCAAGCTCCGGCAGGTCCATGCCAAGCCGAAGCATGCTGGCGACCTGACCTGTGCTCCACACCTCCAACCCTGACACGCGCAAGCAGAGAGAGGCACGGGCATGCCCATACCCACCTCCCTTCCATCTACCTGTCCGGGGCGGCAGATAGATCTCCTGTCCAATACTTATCCTCTCCTGCCCGTCGTTGCCCTCTTTGCCTTGGAAGACCACGGCCTCAGCCCGCAGAGTCGACCCCTTGTCTGCGTGCAGCCCCTCCAGCCGCCCCCTCCCCTCACACACCAACACACCTGCACCACCACGGCCCTCCCTCCTGAGGCCGCTGACATCCACCTCAGTCGTCACACAGCAACCTGACCCCTCCTCGGTGCTGGCGGCAGTGGCCTGCACCCGTAGTCTGTCGTGGCACCACAGGCTGCCCAGCCTTGCCGTCAGGGCGGCCTTGACGTGAAGAGTGACGGACGAGGGCGTGATGGACTCCAGAGCCACTCGCCCGTCGATGACCGCTGGAGGGAGGGGGGGAGGGGGAAGGGCAGGAGCTGAGGACGGGCCGGCCTTATGCCTCTTGGCGCCATCAGCCCTTTCTTTCACCGGCCGCTTCTTGGGTAGTGCCGTGTCTGTCGGCTGATGTTGCTGCTGCTGCTCATGAGGAGCAAGTGCCGCAGAAGAGGCCTGGTCCTCGCCAACACCACCACCACCATCACGACCATCACCATTACTATCCGGCTCGTCGCTGCCTGATGACGCCCCCGATGACTCGTCTTCGTCTGGGCTGTCTAGATGGCTGTCATCCTCCTGGCCTGTGCCGTCCTCAGTGGAGCCATGATAGAGCAGATGGGGCTGCAGAACCGTGTTGACGTGCGGGATGGCCTCATCGCTGCCGCCGGCGATGCAAAACGACGGCACGTTGAGCAGAGAGCGGAGCGGTTCGTCGCACACGGCCACTCGGCCGTTTGCGGGGTCGACCAGTCGTCGATCCTTGACATACTGCCACAGTCTCTTGACGACCTCAGGACGGCTCAGCCTCTCCTCACATCTCAGGAATGCTCGCAACGGGGCCGAGAGAAGAATCTGACACACACAAGAATGCCACTCCCTGCGTTTTCACGTTCAAAATGGGTCTGCTGCAGGGAGAGCTGCCTGCCTGCCTGCCTGCCTGCCTGTTGATGCCACTCACTGACCGGCTTCTGTATCGAGGTGCGCCCCGCCTCGCGTTTTTTGGCACTCACACGTCGCCTTCTTCTCCGCCGCTTCTTCTGAACCATCGTTGCGCTTCTCCTTTGCTCTGCTCTGCGGCTTTCCTTTCCCTGTTCCCTGCAGCAGCAATTTTGCGAGCTTGAATGTGCGAGCTTGAAAAAGATCTGCATTCGCATGAAAAACCTGACGATCCTGTTGCGATGCATTCGCTGATTCGCCGTGAGCCGTGATGGCGTCCGTTGTAGCCGCGCAACTGATCATGGTTTTGGCGCTCGTAGATGAGTGCGTTGCTGCCGTGCTCTCGCCTTCAGCCTCCCGAGCACCCACAGCCACATTCATCCACCCACACGTGCAGACGAAGCGCCATCGGATGAGTCATGAACGGCTGAGAGCGCCGCTATCTCTTCGGGTGCTTCCCCATCTGCCTGTCCTTTCGCCATCAACGACAGCCACAGGCACAGCCACAGCCGCTCACTCACCGCCAACCGGGGATGAGTCTGCGATCTCCTCTCCCCCTTCCCTCTCCCCCTCCCCCTCCCGCTCTCTCCCTCCGTCAGCATCTGCCCCGGTGGGTTATTCGGATGCGTATCTGCGGTGGAATGCCGAGCACGAGGAGGCTTTGGCCAGAGGCGTGGAGCCCGTGCAGAAAACTGTGGGCGTTCTCCTGATATATCCGGAGCCTGAGACCCCCATGACGGTCAGATATGCAGCAGACAGACGGACAGACAGACGGATGGACAGAAACGGGAGGGCAGGAGGACAGGAGGACAAGGTGCCCGGCTGTCTGTCTGTCTGTCTGTCTGTATGTGTGTGTGTGTGTGGTCGGCAGGTGGGTGTCTTTTCTAACGTGACCTACACCGAGCCGCAGGCGCGTGCGATGCTGTACGAGGCCGTCAATAGCTGCGGCGGCCTGTTTGCGCTGCAGTTCGTCAACAAGGAGGCCAACGAGATCAAAGCCGTCGGGTTGCTCGCACAGGTACGTGACGTGGTGGAGGGACGCGGAAGCCATCCAATCCATCTGTGTGGGTGGGTTGGATGGGTGTGTATCTGGTATCATCCCGCCCGCTCAGATATGTGATCTGCGTACATCGGAGTTTGGCGTGCACGTGGCGTTTTGCACCGTGGACCGGACTGACCTGCGGCAGGTCGAGCCAACGGCCACTGACAGTGGGGAGCCGTACACGCAGGGGCGGGTGACGCTCTGGCAGGACACACCCAACTCGTACAGGACCAGGGGCATGTGCGCAACCATGGCCGAACAAATCTACAACATGTACGCAGCCAGCCAGGCAGGCAGGCAGACAGACACCCAGCAACCATTGCGCGGTCCCCCTCTCTTTATTTCGTTCCTTCGTTCTTTCTTTCAGGGATGTGCAGGCGAGTCGGCTTGAGGCCGAGCTGTGGCGCTACAACGGCAACCTGCATGAGGCCGCAAAGGCCGACGCCAGACCTTCACTTGAACAACGGGTCGAGGAAATGATCAACTCGTACGTACCCAACACACACACATACACACTCCCTCTCTCTTTGTATCTCATTCCCTCTATGGATCCTTCTTTCATCGGTTACTGCAGTTTGTACGAGAACCCGAGCACATGTGAGATTTGGACGTGTGTGTGCTGGGCGGCGCTGCTGTATCACTTCGACACGCCCGTGCGGTACGAGGCGCTGCAGACGCAGGACAGCGAGCAGCGGTTGGCCTTCATCTGGAAGGCCTACCAGGACCTCATCGACAAGCTCACCAAGGAGAGACAGCACTTCAGGCGCCAACAGGAGGCGTACGGGTCGAGTGAGGAGGGAAATGCATTGGGGGGGCTTGGGGGGAGGGCGTCAGCTTACTACGTTGGTCTGGCTGATGGCGATGTCGTTCGAGACGTCAAGGCCAGCTACTGATGGATGGATGGTTGAACCACACATACGTGTAAGGACCCACCACCCACCATCATCTCGTGGCCAGCCAGGATCATGGCCGTCTCTCGCGGGAATCAACACAGGAAGTTGTCTGCATGCAGTGATGCAGTGATTCACTGAATGAATTGAATCACAATGATCCATCATTGACATGTACAAAGCCGCCATCAACATGGACCTGTTAACCTTCTTTGCTGGTCATGAAGCCGAGGCCATGTTTCAATTCCTGTCATCTCTCACGACACGCATATGGTCAGCTACATACCGACTGCCGTGACCAGAGAATGCGCAATCAAAGGGACAAGGGAGGTCGATTCCACTGACTTTAACACTCATGTCTCGCTCAGCTCGGCCTGGCCTCTTGGCTGCAGAAGATGCTGTCAGCCAGCGACAAATGTCTTCGCGCCCCTGCCTGGACACGGTCCATCTCCTGCCCCTCGCCTGGACACGGTCCATCTATACCGCCCTCTTCATCGCCATCCTCATCACAGACCGTCTCTGCCGGGCCGCTCGACCTCCCAAACTCACCGGTCGCCAGACGCCCGGCGGTGTGGGCGAACGTCTCGCTGTCGCCATGATGCGGGCCACCTACCAGGGCCGAGCGGAATGGGATGGGTGTCGGAGGGATGATGGCCGCGGCCTCTTCACTGAAGGTGATTAAGCGGTCGTCCCGCCGGCCAGCAGCACTGGGGTCACCGTGGCCGTCAACTGTACTCACGCCGACTGTTGGCGTGCTCTCCTCGCTGTATTGTTGGACAAGGTGAGCTTCTCCCAAAGATTCGCCGTGTCGCCCACTTGCGCCGTCCGCGCCAGCACAAACGAGAGGAAGCCCTTCCGAGAACGGCAGCTTCAACTCTTCCCCATCGACGCCGCCTTGTTGCGCAGCATCGCATGTCTCCTCATCGCCCTGCCACCCATGGTCCATAAGGGCCGAATCGTCGTCCGGTCGATCTGGTTCGATAGCATCTGGAAGAAGAGACATGCCAGGCAACTGGGCTTCTTCTTGCAGGTCGGGTTCGTCGACAGCAGCACTAATTCGCTCTGATGGCAGATCGCCTTCAGCACCCAACGCATCCCCAACGCATCCTCAACGCACTCTGCTCTTCCTGTTTCGCCTCCGGTAAGGCTTCATCTCTGCCAGGCGCCGGTGTCTCGTCCTCAGGAAGGACATATGCATTAGATGGTCTTCTAGCCTCACCATGGAGTCCTTGGAACCACTCACTAGCGTCAACACCGTCTTGCTCAGTTTCCCACACCACACGTCTGTCGCCTTTGTCAGCCTCTACGACGTCGTCTTCTGCAGGGTTCTGGTCGTCTGGAAGTGAGGCTTTGGCTTCCTTCTCGTCTGAGACTGATGCCAGCTCAGCTGCTGCCTCTCCATCTGAGGCAGTATCCCCGGCCTCAGCCGGTAGATGAGCGGGCGAGAAGACCTCTTCTGTCAGCGATGCCGTGGCGCCATGGTCGACCTCATGTCCGTCAGCGAAGGCTGAAGACATGCTGTATTTCTCCGTGTCTCTGTCGCGGCCATCGTGTGCAGTGATGTCTTTGTCTTCATGACTAAGGGGCAGGTCGATGGGCTCAGACGGCGGCACATCGTCTTGGTTGCTCGGAGACATCTCGTCTTCTCTCTGGTCTTCGGCTGCCAAGTCAGCAACCGCCCCTGTTTCAGCAGAGACGGGCTCTTCCCACCCTGGTGAATCGTCGCCACCTTCAAGCAGCAAGCTCTCTTCATCCACGTGTATCGGCGCTTGGCGGTCGTCAGATCCCTGCTCCTCCTGAGCTAGACCAACAGACACCCGGGCAACTGGCGTCTCAACCAGCAGCTCGCTGAAATGGTCGTCGGGCAGCGTATTCTTCTCATTAAGTGACGTCTTTTCCTGGTCGACATTGACGTCTTCTCCAGGCTCGCTGAGAGTGGCCTGCGCGACGGCTTGACCCTGTTCTTCATCCACCGCGGGCTCGGCATCTTTCTCCTCCAAGTTTTCATCAACCTCATCAGGCATCAGGTGGGCTGTGTCATCGTGTATAACGACGTCAATGTCTGCACCGCCCTCAGGCTGGCCACCGGGTACTGAGGATTCTCCACCATCTTGCAAACGGTGGTCTGAGTGCACAGGGCTTTGCCTCTCTCCAGGCGTGGCATTGTCTCGGGCCTCGTCAAGGATGACGTGAGATGACGCCTCAGACTCTGGCAGAGACGGCTGCCGCTCCTCTTCGGGTAGAGCGTCTGGCGCAAAAGGAGCCCTATCCTCTTCATGGTGCTCCTCCGTCTCCTCTCCCCCTTCGCCAGGGATTTCCTCGGTCCCGGTGACACTCCCTCTCTCTTTCGCCACCTCTGTCTGCGACTGCGCCAGGGCCAGCCCATACTGGAGGACAGCGGCGTTGGACGGCGTGGTGTCCTCATCCAAATATTGAAAAGACACCAAAGCAGTTGAGGGTCTCTCCACGTCTCCTAGTTTCTCAGTTGTCTGTGGCTGCTGTGCCGCAGGTGCCGTGGGCAGGGCCGCCCTGTCTCTGTGCTCTCGGAAGCGGCGCTGGATGATGCGAGCAGACGAATGGATGCGCATCAACAAAGCAATCTTGTGCAGCCTGAAGCCAGCCGGCCGATCAGCAACCGGAGCGGAAGGATTGAGCACTTCGAGCACCCTTACCTGACACGTAGCCGCACGGCTGTTCCCCGCCACGCTCTCTGTATGACGAGAGCAGCTCGAATTTGAACCTCCACAGGCACCCACTGATCCCTCTGCAGGCAGCCAGACAGAATGTCATCAAGTACCCATCAGCACAGCACAGCACAGCAAACGAACAAGGGCCCGCCTGCCTGCCTGCCTACCTTTGCATAGAGGAGGGCGGGGGGCATGCTTTTCCCTGCCGGCCTGGCCCATGCCCTAGAAGGACGAAGAGACTCTTGAACGTCCTCCCAAAAACACCGTCTCCTCCTCACCACCAGGCCTCCCATCGCTCCAACAGTCGACACAGTCGGGCTCAGCTTCCCCGGCAGAGGGCCTGGGGCATGGCTTGGCTGCTCATCTGGTCGCGCCGGTTTCGTCTGACCTGGAGGGTGCGGTGTGCGTCTTGAGTGGGAGGAGGAGACCTGCCGCCGGCGATGGCGGCCTGCGCCAGCGACGCCACCCGCAAAAGGTGTGTCGGCTGTATTCGGCCGGAGCGCACCCGCGGGTCGGCCTCTCCTCTGTGGCGGCCATGATGGCCTGTCTTGATCTTGATGACGTGGAGAGGACAAGAAAGGCGAGGGAAAGGGCGTCGAGGAACAGGGTGGCACAGTCGACCCTGGGGTGGTCGACGCATTGGCAGTTCGTCTCTTTGACGATGAGCCGACGAAGGGCGTGGTGTGGGCGGACGGGGAGGGGGTCGACAGCGGGATGGAGCTAGGCGTCAGGGGCGGCTCCAGGGCGGGCAGAGTGGGGGGAGAAGCGCGTTTGGTGTGCGATGAAGGGGTGCGCAACCCGACACTCAGGGCGATGGATGATGATCTTTGTTGTCGTCGTGACGGCAGCGTGTCTCTGTCGTGGGCGAGAGATGACTGTTCCGCTGCACTTTCCCTGCGACACTCCACTTGTCCCTTGACGAGCCTCGACCTCACCACACACCGCCGGCGACAGTGCTTTGCCGCCCCTTCTCTCTCGTCGGCCGCCTCTCCGTGCCTCTCGGAGCCGCCCATGAGTGAAAGTCGGCCATCGGCAGATTGCAATAGGGGAGACGAAGGCACAGCCCCGTAGGGGTACACTACGGTGATTGGGTCATCATCCCCTGGTTGGGGTGAGACGGATGGGGAGGGGGAGGGGGAGACACGTGGCCTTTCGCGGGTGGGTGGTCTGCTCGTGGCCGGGGGTGACAGCCGCAGCGGAGGCAGCATTCCGTCTTCCTGCCCCTCCTGCTGCTGCCCCTGCTGCTGCTGCTGCTCGTCAGCCGTATTCAGCAGTGAGTTGAGCGACTTGTCTGTCGGTCTCTTCTGACTTGAGCCTTCCATGCCGAACAACTGCGCGCTTGTGAAGGCACAGGAGTCCTCAATCCGCCTGGTGAGGGGATGCTCGCTGCCGAGGCTGCTGGCCGCCAGCTTGCAGGCCTTGCTGAGATAGCTCGTCGGAGCAGATGGGTCAAGCATGGCCGAGTGTCGCAGCTCCGATATCTGCCATTCGTTGGGATGGACTTGCGAAAGGGCCTCCACTGCATAGTTGTGGTATGCGACGCAAAGGTAGGCTGTGAGCCGGCGGTGTGAGGTGTCTTGGCCATGTGACAGGTAGCCCTCGAGCAGAGACATGACGTTGGCATTGCTCGATACGGCCTCGCTGGTCCTACACACACACACACACTCACATACACATGGATGGAGGGTGGATGGATGGAGGGGGAGGGGGCCTGCCGAACATACCTGCCATTCTCTCCGTAGAGAAACGCTGCGTTTAGAATGACGTGTGCTCGCATTTCGATCAGCCGCAATAGATGCACGTCATCTCTTTCATCGCTGCTGCCGTTCGGTACTGCATTGAAGGTCGTCGGTAGGACCTCCGATGGCCATTGCGAGAGGCAATGGAAAGCCCGAAACGTGGCCTGGAGCGCGGCCTCGTATTTGTTGCGGCTCTTGAACAAGAGAGACATGCTAGACGGACACACACACTCACAGGGACAGAGTGAGAAATACCTGGTGCATTTGCTCTACCGATCACTTCCCACTTGGTATAGGTCTCTGCTCGCCTGAGAGGGTTGTACACGCCACATCCCTCGACGGCCATAGGCTCCCTCACAGTGCCCCCCCTCGGCTCACGCAGCGTTTCTGCGAACGCCTTGGCACTGTGCCGTCTCTTTCTCGCCGCGTCAGAGTGCCTTACGCCCCTCTCCTGCACCGCGACAAATCGCCGCGCTGCTCTCGTCCGGGTGGTGTTCGATGAGGGCTTTGTCAGCTCAAGGGCTGCCTGCAAGAGGTAGTTGGCGGCGTCGTGGCTGACGCCGGGAGAGGAGTGGATGATTTGGAGGGCAAGGTGGTTGAAGAGCCACACAACCATGTCCACTGTGGCAAGGAACTGCACATGCAGGCACACATAGACAGACATGCACACAGGGAGGACCGTTTGTGCAATGCCATATGCCTGTGGCGGTGGTGGCCGGCCAGGCCAGTTGCCCACCTCCTGATGCTCAGGTCCCAAGAGGTTCATCCACAGCATCACCACCTCCTGGTAAACCTGGACACACTGAATGGTCAGCCCTAGCAATGCCGTCCCGTTCCTGTCGCCGCCGCGCGGGGAGCTTCCGCACATGCTGCCGAACCGCATTCGAAGGGCGCTGCTTACACAACAATATCAGACTGACCAATGAGGCAGACACCCGTGTATGTAGTGCCACCTTCCATCGTTGGTGAGCTCCTTCAGGCGCCTCAGCGTGTGCGTGAATCGTTCTGCCTCGCTCCGGGAGAGGAATTCCGCCGGGCTCTGCAGAGACAAAGGCTGAGACAGCCAGACCACACAACTCTCACGCACTCATCCCTCAGCGTGTGTGTGTCTGTGGCGTGCAGCCCCGAGCAGCCCCGCATTTCAACGCCTTCCATCTGTCTGCCTGCCGGTCAGTGATTTTTTATGCGTACCGCATCTTGTGTGCAACTGCCGAGCCACAGCCTAAGAGGCCTTCGCTCTGGAAACACGTGCGAGAACCGCAGATCCATCGGAAAGCTAATCGGAACGCGGCGAGATGGGGTGGGGGCGTTGGGGGCATTTTGCGAGCTCGAGAGTTTTCCTGAGTTCTGCGATGTCGTGTGAGAGCCCGAAGGCCAACATGGATGAGCAGGGCGGGGTGGGGATGCCGGGTAGCGACGCGAGCCCCAGTCAGCTGCTGCAGCTCGACATGGAAGAGCTCCAGAGGCTGCAGGAGCAGTTCCACACACCCAACCACGTGCTCGTCACCCTCAACATGGAGGAGTGGCTCGCCGCCTTCTCGTTCAAACTCGCCACCCTTTCCCCAGCCAGGCAGCAGACGTACAAGCACGACCTGACCTTGCTCTTCCAGGCAAACAAAGCAAAACAAACAGACAAACAGACAAACAGAGAGCAGAGCAGTCTGTATGACATTGTGTCTGCAGAAGATAGACGAGAGTTGCAAAGACGAGATCACTTGGGACGCGTTTACCGGCTTCATGCTGAGACACCTGCCTGTCGGCGGGTCGGAGATGGGCGCCGACGTCGACGGCGGCGACTTTGCGACGGTGGTCAAGACGGAAGGCCCGGCGGGTGGCGTGGCCAGCCCTGAGAGGGAGCAACACTCGGACTTCATCAACAAGATACTCGTCATCAGTGACAAAGACGCCAGCACCCAGGCGACGTCAAGCGAAGCTGCCTCGAGCGGCGGCCGCCCTCCCGTCGCTGCTGGCAACCGCTTCGCCGCCCGATACGTCACTGCAGGTATGTATCACATCACACACAGAGAGCCACCTAAACACAGATGCGTGTGTGTGTCCATGGGTCCATCCGTCCGTCCATCCGTCTGTCCATCCGTCCGTCCATCCGTCCATCCATCCATCCGTTCATTTCATCAGGTCGTGACGGCACTCTGCGGGTGTGGTCTCCTACGTTTCAGCTGCTGCGCCGCACGAGCCTCGGTTCCCACCGGCGGTGGTTCACGGACATCTGCTGGCTCAGACGCAGCCAGCGGCTGTGCGCCGCGGCCGCAGACTTCACCCTCTTCTTCCTCGACGGCAATGTGGAGCGGTGCATCGGCAAAATCGAGACGGGCGTGGCCACACCCACTTGCCTCGCATACACCGACAGCGGCCTTGCCTGCGCCTCACACCAAGAAATACTCATGGTAAAAGAGTCACAATGACAAGCACACCACCTATATGTGACTCACCATGGGGTGTATGTGTCTCTGTGTTTCGGCTTCTCTGTTGTGATGCTGCAACGAAGGTAGGTAGGCGACGGTCACGGTGTGGTGACACTCTACACCCTTGACACCCTCGCGGCCGCCGACCAGTCATCGACGGGCCACACTCTGCCCGAACTGCGCTCATTCAACTCCTCCGCATCGCTCCACGGGTCGGGCTCTCGCGCAACCAGCCCTAGCAGAGACATGGCCGACCACGCCAAGGACCTGCCACCCGTTCCCCTGCCGCAGAAGAGCGGCAGCAGAGACAGCTATGACGCCGCATCAGCAGCCGCAGGGGCGAGTGGGCAGCCGAGGGATGTTGAGCATGACAGTAGACGGATGAAAGGAGGGGCGTCTGGCGCTGTGCTCAACACGGGCGCGTTGGGAGCAGGGCGGAGCTACAGCGACCAGCGGGCGGCGGGACTTGTGACGGTCGAGCAGATCCTCCACACACCCAGGCCAATCCGACCACTGCCGCACATCTGCAAGTGAGACTTACATGCAAACAATGGAAGATAGGATACTGTCGCTGCCTGCTCATCCATCCATCCCATGCCATGTGTCACATCACAGGACGCGCTATCACGACAATTGGGTGACAAAGGTGGGGTTCGTGCCCGACCTGCAGTCGATGGTCACATCCGGGCTCGACGGCATCATCAACATAGGCGACATACAAGTAAGGTGGGCGCAATTGACTGACCGCTTCATGGCCATCCATGGTATGATGTGCCTCTTAGACGAACAAACGGAAGCGCGACCCCATCCGCCTGCATCGCCGCGGCGTTTATTGCTGGCAGTGGTGGGCACAGACATGGAGCGGCCGGACAGCACACATGCATATGCATGTCGGTGCATTGATTGATGTGTGGGTGTGGTGTATGGCTGGCCATAGGTGTTCGACGTTTCAGTTGTTTGCGTCCGGGGGTCAGGACCGCGAGATCCTCATATGGAACCCATACACCGTCAAGCCGCTCAACTTCCTCCACGGACACTCCGCACCCATCAAGCACCTACTGCTCAACGAGGCACGCCGCCCCACCCCTGTGTCAAACCCGCCCCATCTCATCCGTCTCTCTCTGCCTCTGTCGCTGCTTATGGATGCAGCCGTGTTTCCAGCTGATATCTGCCTCGTCCGACAAGGTCGTGAAGGTGTGGGACATCCGCAACTTCCGCTGCATGCAGACCCTCACCATGAAGGACAGCGACGACACCCATCCCATGGTGGACGGCGGGCTCGACGCCACCGGCGACGAGGGCTTCACCTCCATTGCACTCCACTGCGGATACGAGCGAGAGGGACAGGACACAGCCGGTGGGGCTGCTGGCAGTGCTGGCAGCGAGACACGGCTGCTCCTAACCGACAGGAAAGTGCACTGCTGGCCTCTCTCTGTGCCGACGGAACACTTCAAGAGTCACAGACGTCCGGTGGTCAAGGCGCTATACAATGCAAATTTCCAACAGGTATACGTACAACGAATAGGACCGGGCATGGCATAATATCACTGTGGGGCTGGCTATCTGGTGTGCTGCCTTCAGGCGGTGAGTGGCGACATCAGCGGGACAGTGCGTGTGTGGGACCTCAAGACGGGAGCACTCCTTCTGCAGTTCCATCAAGCACACGGCAAAGACAAGGCACGCACGCACCACAACCACAAGCACGTACACGTGTCTCATGTGCAAAAGATGATGTATGCGTGTATGCAGCTGACGAGCATGTGCTTCGACAGCACCGAGCGTCGGCTGCTCACGGCCTCCGACAACGGCACCGTCATCTTGTGGAACTTCTCATCGGGCCAAGCCATTCGCACCTTCGCTCTCCACGAGCAACACCCCACCGAGCTGACCGAGCTGCGCGTCTTCTGCGAGACACCACAGCAGCGAGATGAAGACGCCCAGCCGACCCACACGCACCAGCAGCAGCAGCAGCCCGTGGCCCGCAAAAATAGTGGCGAGAGCAGCAGCAGCAGCAGGGAGCCACGGCAGCCAGCCCCATCCCCCGCTCCACCCGCCTTGATGCGGCGGCGTCGGTCATCTCGCGGCAAGGAGATGAGCGAGCTGGTGGTGGGGGTCGGCGTGGACAAGCGGATATATGTGTGGCCGCACAGCAAGCGGGAGAAGATCACGGTGCAGATGGTGCTTGACGATCCCACCAACGACGCTGAGGGCGACATGACGTCATTCTGCTGCTGCCCCGCCTATCAGAGCCTCGTCAGCGCCGACTCGGACGGATTCATCTACATATGGAAGATACAGGTACGTGTGCCTTACTTACAAGTAAGGCAGATCGATCTGCCATTCACACGCGAGGCGGCTCTCTTTGTTCGTTCTCGGTGTCTGTCTTCAGGAGTATCACGAGCAAACTCGGCCGCTCAAATTCCGTCTGCGGGACACTGTCATGCGCGGCATGTCGTCCAGCATGCCAATTCCCCCCTCCCCTCGCACAGTCGGGTTCTCCTCCACAAGTACCCCCTTCAACCCCCGCACCTCCTCCATCGCCGAGACCAACCCCCGCACCTCACTCGCGGCCGACACCAACGCGCGCAGCTCACTCATGTCTTATACCGACACGCGCGCATCGCGCGTCAGCAGAAAAAGTGAACAGCCCCAGGTCGCTACCTACTTGCCGCAGATCGGGGGCAAGGGCCCACCCACTGGCTCGCTGCCTGGGTACAAGCGACTGAGTGTGGTGTCCCACCTGCCGACGCTGCCTCCCAGCCACAGCGGGACAGTGTCGCCGTCGATGCTCAGCCCTCGGGCGGCGGGGAGCGGCATACAGAGAGAGCAGCGGCTGAGTGTCTTTTCCACTGCTGGGCTGGGTGAGGGGGAGGACCGCACAGAGGGGTTCCTCGAAGGGCTCAAGCAGCTGCACGCGCCAGCCGGGGGCTACGCCCACCGAGTGGACCAGGTCATCTTTCTGGAGACCAAGCAGGTCCTGGCTTCCATCCATGCCGACGGCTACCTCCGGTTATGGAGCGTGGCCAAGGGTGAGCTGCTGAGCCGGACCAAGATGCCCTTCAGCCCATCAGGTGAGGACAGGCAACAAGAGATGGGGGCAGGTGCTGTCGACGAACGCACCACCACACGCAAGACCACCATCCTCAGCCCTGTCTCTTCGGGCGGCGAAGTGGGGCGAAAGTGAGTACTTGAGAGAAAAGGAAACCCTCAGCCACTCACTCTAGGCCCGCATGCATTCCTGTGTGTGTGTGTCAATGTCGATCTGGCCTGGCAGGCACGGGAGCATGCCAGTGAACCAGCACACCCTCCCCTCCGCCCCCACCGACACAGCCCGCCCGTCCGCCGCCTCTCTGCTCAAGCGGCACACGGGCAGGCGAGTCAGCAAAAAGAAGGCCCCCAGGATCGAGATATCCTCCCCGCGATACCACAACATCGCCCCAGACAGCCAGCGCACTGACCAGCCCGCCTCGCCCGACGGCCAAATCGCCACCGGCGGTCAGCAGCAGATGAGTGTGGCCGCTTCTGCCGATCGCGTGCGGCTGACGTGCGTCGACACCAACCGCGGCAACACGGTGCTGTTGGGTGGATCGGCGAGGGGCGAGGTGTGCATCTGGGACATATCTCGGCTGGAAGGGCTAGGCAGCGTCGTCACGCCCTCTCAGGCCGCCGCTGCAGCGACAATGTCGTTTATCACACCCCGCAACATGCTGCTCAAGGCCGCGGCTCATGGGGTCGTCATGATGAAGAGGGGAGGGGGGGAAGACGCAACCGCCGCACCTCAGCCGCCGGCTGGAGCCTCGCAACATGACAAGGAGAGGGAAGCCGAGACGGGCTCCGCGCGGGCGTCGACGGCTGGCGGGGGGCCGCGGAAGAGGGGCCACAGCAAGCTGGGGGCACTGATGATGCAGGCCGCCTCGATGGCCAGGGCGGACGCCATGGGCAGGGCTGAACCCATCACGCTCACAGCCAGAACGACGCTGCACGACGATGCGGTCAGGAGCGTTTGCCTCATAGAAGGGGGGGTGTCGCCACAGCCAATGACGGTAACTGGTCTCATTCCAAGGAGCCCACACACAGCCCATCCCTCTCTCTTTGCCTGTCTGGGTGTCTGTCTGCCTGGTCGTGTGTGTGCAGCTTTCGTGTTCGGCGACGGCCATAGTGCTGTCGACGATCGACGGCACGCGAGTGGGCATCTTCTCGGAGCAGGCCTCCTCCAGATGGGCCCTGTGGCAGCCCGACACCTACCTCGACACGCGGCTGGAGCAGCAGAGGAGGGAGCAGGAACTCGCAGCCAAGAGGGGGCGCAAGCGGACGGGCGATGATGAGCAGGCCCCGCTGGGGGAACAGGAGACGGCAACCAAGGAGCACGAAAGGCCGCCCTTGCCACAAATGCCGGTGCGCTAACCCACCCCCCACTCACCCACCCCCACAGCCGACCATTCAGGCATGCGTCTGTCTCTTTGTGTGCGTGGTGGGTGGTCTGATTGACGTGTCACATCAATCAGCGGCGGAGTGCAGCCGCTCGAGGGGGTGATGGGGAGGGCGGCGACGATGCCGAGGATGGGGGTGCACCTCGCGAGCCGGGCATGCAGGTGAGATTCACCCCGCCATGGAAGAAGGAGCGCACCTCACAGTCCAAGCAGAAATCGCCCAGGAAACAGAGAACAGGTGTGTTCTTGACATGGCGGCAGACACACATGCAGACAGACAGACAGACACAAATGTGCCTCCGTCCGTGTCTTGGTCTGTGCCGTCACCCCACGCATAAATCAATGCACTAATGCAGTCCAGAAGCGCGAGTGGCGCTATGTGCCACTGACGACGGGCGGCGTCCAGACAGGCAGACTCTCCGTCGACAGGGTAACTAACGTACAGACACAAACACGAGACACACACATGCCGCCCCCCCTCTCTCTCTGTCCGTCCATCTGAGTGTGTGTGTCTCTCCCTTTCCTTCCCTGTCTCTGTCATCCCCCAACAGTCGGCCCCAATGCACGCCGGCCATTCGTACGGCCAAATGGCGTGCTCGCGCGTCTTCAGCGCCTTTTCGATGGACAGTGCCCGACCCAACATGCGGCTCAACGAGAACCTCAAGCAGGTCTACCCCAACGCCCGCGTGACCTCCTTCATCGACAGCGGGGCCGCCAACGCCGCCGCGCTCGACAGTAGCCTTGTGGTACTGGGGGACGAGCGACACCATCTCATGCACAGCCGTGGGGCTGGTGGGGGGGCTGGCGGGGGGGGTGGGAAGGTTGATGACCCGACAGGCCGTGACAGGTATGGCTCTGGCGCGGCACAGATGACGGTGCAGGTGGAGGATGTGGTCAGGGGCGTGCGCAAGTGGATCACCCAAACCACATGACTGACATCACATACATAATCATCATCTACCTGTGGCTGTGGGTTCGTGTGGTGTGGTGTGGTGTCTCTTCCTCCCTCCTTTGTTTGCTCGTATGTGCTGCCTGCCTGCCTGCATGCGAGTGAGTGAGTGGAGGCGTGTGGGTGGAGGTGTGACTCTGAGTGAGTGAATGGATGGATGGATGGATACTTGCAATGCATTCACTGACGACCGTACGTGGTCCGCTCCGCTCGCTCACACCTACCATACACCCTGTCTGTCACGTCTACACACGTACGCATATATACATATGCAACCATGAGCACGGGAGGCAACAAGGGACGGAGGGAGGGAGGGAGAGCTGTCAGGACGGCCGGGGCCCGGTGGCTTGTATATATGTGTGTGTGTGTGTGTGTGTACAGGTCAACCAACAGACGACAAGAGGGTGGTTGTGGTGGTGGAAGGCTGGCCTCAAACAGCACACGGGCACCGAACCAAGGGAAAGAAAGACTGTCGGAAGTGCCAGCCAGGAAGGAAGACGGACAGGCGCAAAAAGAGCAAGGCGCATCAATCGGTGGGTGGCTACAAGCACGGGAAAATGGGCGCACCCACCAAGGGGTCTGTCTGTCCGTCTCGGCGGTTAAAAGGTTGCTGTAGGTGAATGGTGCTGAGTAAGTGTATGTGTATGTGTCTGTGGTACACATCCCATCTCCCCAGTCACTCAGGCGGCACATGCACCTGAGCAACCAAAGGAACACATTGTCTCTCTCTCTCTCTCTGTGTGTGTGTGCGTGCGTGTGTGTGTGTGTGTGTGCGTCTGCCGACCCACCCCGTGTTGCGCTGCATCCTCGACCCACTGCTTCAGCGTCAGCTGCTCGCCATAGTCCAGGTCCAGCCACTCCTGCATGTGCTCATACATCTTCTCGTCATCCAGCTCACTCATCGTCTGCAGAGCGCGCCCACTCATCTTGTACTGCAACAAGCCGCCAGGCAGCCGAGCAAAACAGATAGACAGACAGACAGACACCACCGTATGCCACACGTGTGTCAGCATTGGATGCCTCCCTTCCCTGTGACCTTTTTCAGTTTCAACGCCATGCCAGACATGACCTCATCGGGGTCGGATGCGAAGACTCTCACCACCTGCTGGAGGGTCAGCTGCACTAGAGGTGTACCCTGCACACGCCCACGACCCCCACCGCCCCCAGCACCACGGCCATGGCCACGGCCGCCACGGCCGCCAAGCCGACCCCCACCAGCAGATGCAGATCCAGACGCCGACGTAGACGCTTGACGACTAGACGACGCAGACGAGGCACCTGAAAGAATGAACGGATGGATGGCGACACAATCCATAGGATCGGACCCACTCGTCGTTTCGGCTGGGTGTGTCATAGGTATTGGTACCTGTCGCCTTCTTCCGCTTTGCTGCAGACTTTGGCACCGACTTCGCTGCGATCTCTATTGTGCGCTTCTTGTTCTTGGGCTGCTGGGGTGTCTCCTTGGCCTTCTGCTGCTTCTGCTTCTGCTCCGCCAGCCGATAGAGCGGTCGGCCTTCGGCATACGATGGCAGGATCGGCTGCTTGTCCTGCTGACGCTTCCGGTTCCTCGTGATGCGGTGGAAGGGGTCCTGTTCCTGAACCTCTTCCTCCTCCTCGACAGTGTCGTGTTGCTGCCGCTGGGCAGTGTCGTCCATCGTGGCGGCGGCGGTGGTGGTGTCTGCTGCAGTGGCGGGGGGACCGGACACCGTACCAACCTGAGGGCACACACCCAGGGAGGCACAGAGAGAAGGAGGCAATACACGTGTGTGGATGTTGAGACATGTGCGCAATCACTTGTTTCCCTCTTGCCCTCGGTGTGTACCTTGGTCTGCAGCACTCGGAGCCCTGACGGAGCGGAGATCGGCACGAGATGCGCTGATGGATGTGCAACTGCCTCACACCCACACACACAGAGAGGGAGGGGAGGGGAGGGGAAAGGCCGGATGATGCGGCACGATGCTGTGAGCGGATGCAGGCTCTCTGTCTGTCTGTCTTCCTCGGCAGATCTGACAGCTCTTTGTGAGGGAGCTCACCTCGTTCTACGTGGCGATGTGGCAGACCACCGCACCTCTATCACTGCGCCGACGCTAAGACGCTCACACAGAAAGGCGCGTCATCCAAATCGCTCCGACGGATCGCGCAAATTTCCGTTCGTCGAAAGAAGAGGTCCGCACCTGCACACCGACAACGGCGGCAAGAAGGCGCATTTGGTCAGGCATAACCGAACAGGCAGACAGCACCGACGCACCTGATCTGACGACGCTGTGTGTGCAGCGGAGGGGGCGCCACACGCGCCGTTCGTCCACTGGCCTGGCCGCACCACCGACGCAAGCAGCAGATGACCAACAAGCCCTGATCAACGACGTGGGCAACTGAGAGATTTCGGCGAGCACGCCAGACGCCGCATGAGAGAGCATTAGGCGGCTGTGCGGCTGCCGTTCATGGGATGCCGTCGGCGAAGTGCCTTGGCGGCCATCGCAGCTGACCGCCACTGCGTCAGAGGAGCAAGACCTCAGGGACCCTCTTACACGGCCGCTGTCCGTCGACGTCTTCAGTCAGTTGACTTGGCCGGAGAGACTGCCGAGCCCCCGGGCGGCAAGGGCGGTGCTGCAGTAATGAGCGGGCGGCGTCTGAGAGGCCAAGGGGACGCCGTGTGGGTCACCAGACGAGAGGGATGAGCGGAGCAAATGAGCACACTGTCAGGAGAGCGAAGAGGGTGAGGTGAGAAGGTGAGCCAGCAATCCACAGCATCACATCTCACGGCGTCCTCGATGTCTGACTGTGTCCGGGAGGATTGGACGGGAGGGAGATCTTCTTGTGTGCGACCCTAGCTCGCAAACGACTCATAAGGATTTTTGAGACCTTTTGTGTTGTTTGTGTTCAACGGGGAGTTTAGGAATTGGCGTGTGTGTGGCGATCTGAAAGGGGTAGCGGTGATCCGACGCTTTGTTGATTTGCACGGCTTCTGAAGGCTCTAAGGCTTCAAGAGATTTCACAGGTAAGATGGACACCTTCAGAGCCGCACGCACACGCACCTGTGGCTGTGGTGCTGCGGTGCGTCGCTTCTTTTATCAGCAGAGTGTGTGTGAGTGCGCCATCGGCCGGAGTCGTCAGAGAGGAGCCGCCAGCCGCACGTCCAGCGGTCTTTTTGCCGAACAGATCTGTGCTTGTTCCGTGGGTCAGCTGCGCAACACAGAGAGCAACACAGCACTGCACTGTGACTGCAGCGGCCATTGGAAGAGACAGTTCTTCTTTTCCTGTGTGCGCTTTCTTTCAGGTGAGTTGCGGCTGCAGTCTGAGATCATGCAGGGCAGTAACTGTTTGCCAGATGACCGCTCGTGTCCTAAAGGGAAGCGAGGTAGAGTCGCTTGTATTGAACTGTGAGAGGCAGCTAGCTGCATCGGTGCATGTGTTAGCGCGTGGCTGCACGTACATGTAGACTGAGACATGTGATCTGAGCAGCAGCAGCTAACGCGCTTCTTACGGTGATCGAGTGGGACACATGCAGTGCAGGTGGCATGTAGTTGTTAAGGGTCAGTCAATTCAGAAGAGGAAGCAAACGGCCAAAAGCCTCATTCATCCAATGTCCGCTAGTTACATACACACATACACACACAAACAGCGATACACTACACCCCTCCTCGAACAAACACGAGGCGGCCTATCTGTCTAGCAAGAACGAACACCACTCATTGCCTACCCTACAGGGCACCGAACCATTGGGACAGCCAGGCGGCGTCTGCCACATCGTTGAGTGCGCCCGGCATGCTGGGCGCCTGCGGCCAGTCGACGGCATCGTAGAAGAGCCTGCTGCTGGAGAATAGAGGGGTGGACCAGCCGGCAATGAACTCCAACGCCTCGTTGTACACTTCGTCTGCCTGCACACCACACCACACCACACCACACCGCACCACCAACAAACAAACGACGAGAGACGTGACGGACGGACACCACCACGAGCGGGCCAAGCTGCCTGTCTCTGCTCTCCGCGTATGTGGCCGTCCTTGCCTTGTCGTTGAGGTACTGTTCGAGTGCCATGGGGCCGATGCCGGGGTTGGAGGTCAGGTATGAGGACACAAGGTTGGCGGCCTCGATGGTGCGCATGTACAGGTGGTCGTTGAATGCACGAACCTTGCTGGGCTCGCTCATATACTGCCTGTCGAACTGCAGCCAGGGCACACGACACGGAAGAAACATGAGGTCGGTGAGACAGTGTGTACGCTGCGTGGCAGAGAATCGATCCCTGACGGGTGTCTGTCCCCTCACCACCTACTCTACTCACCCCTTTCTTCTTGGTGGTGACTTTTTCGGCGAACCTGTCGATCCTCTCGCCGACTTGTCTCTTCTGGCCCTCCCACCCGAGGTCCGCCACTCTGGTGGGCACCCTCTCCCCCATCATGCCCCCGCTAATCGTCCCGCCAGACGAGGGCTGCAGATGGAACTGCACGATAGTCGCCACATCCATGGCCGTCAAGCCGGGAAACAGTGGCGGCGTGACCCCCGGTATCCCTCCACCCAAAACCGGATCCAGCAAAGACGGACCGGTCTGGAGCGGCATCAGCTCGTTCAAGAGGTCCGTCTCGGCGGGCTGGAGGAGGGACGACGTGCCTCCTGTGAGGCCGGGGAGGAGTGACGGCTGCTGCTGCTGCTGGGGGGTGAGGAGTGCCTCGGCCTCGCTGAGGATGCCCTGGGCGGCCGCAGCACCGCCGTCCACAATGCCAGAGGTGGTGGCAGCGATGCCGCCCAGGGGATCGACGCCCATGCCCATGCCCATGCCGCCCATGCCGACTCCCATGCCGATGCCTGCGAGCGGCTGGGTCACCATCGATTCCAGGCTCGATGCAGCTCGTCGCACGAGGTAGTCGTCCTGACAAGCATACATCAACACACACACACATACGTCAGCTTTGTGGGTAACTCAGTGAGAGACTGACCACGAGATTGGTTGAGAGGAGGCTTGTGGATGTGGGGGCGAAGCCCAGCTGCAGCCTTCTCCTCCGGCTGTTGGCAGCCCTCCCCCTGACGAGGCCGTCGAAGAATGTCGTCACCTCGGTTCTGACGCTGGTCATGGCCTCGGTGCCGAGACTGGTGATGGCCGTGGGGGTCAGGATGGCCTGGATGACCTTGTCAATGTCGCCCGCCTGGATGGAACCGGCCTTGTCCATGGTACCCTTGACCGCCTTCTCCGCATCGGTGCTTCACGAAGAGAACGAAAGACAGAAAGACACACACACACACATACACTCATGACGATGGACGGGCTGGGCTGCATCTGTGTGGTTGATACGATACCCACACAGACACGTGTCTGGATGCTTCTCACTTACTATTGTGGGTTGATGAGGGCATCGAATCTGTAGAGGTAGGCGCCCAGCAGCTCCTCACCCATCGACATGATGTAGTTGGCCGGCTCCTCAACTATACACACACACACACACACAGAGACTGCGAATATGTGTGTGACGTTCTGCCTCACTTGTGTGTGTGATGATGTTTTCGATGAAGGCCGTGATGTCCTTCATAAAGTTGGGAAGCTCTGAGAGCGGCAGTTGAGTCAAGTATGTGATGAGCTGCACACACACACACACACACACGCACAGACGAATGACAGACACACAAATGGAGATGACGTGCAATGTCTCCCTCCTCCCTCCCCTCCGAGGAATCTGTGCTATGCCAGGTCATGGTGCAGTGCACTGGACGCCCACTTTGTTTAGGTTGCCGTATGTGAAGGGTGCAACCATGTCGATGAAGCCGTGGAAGTGATCCGGGTCGAACAGAGGCATCATGCCCCACACCTGACACACACACAGACACCGTGAGACACATTAGATGGGTGCGCGGGGAGGAGAGAACCTCTGCGCATCCACCCGTCCACCCATACCGTCTTTGCGACTTTCTCCAGGAAGGAGACCGCGAGTTTGAGGATCTCCATCGGGTGCCCCGCGAACTTCTTGAACCCTGCCAGCCACTTGGCCGTCAGCTCTTTACCCCTGTCCGGGAGCTTCCCCAGGATCTCGGTGAATTCCTTGAGGAAAGGGATGTCCGGGGTCACGATCGACCCGCCATAGGTCAGCACGTCCAGGAAGGGGATAGTGGGCGTCGGGAGGCTGCCCGCGAGGCCCGCCAGCGACCCCGCGATCTTGCTGGGGACGACCAGGAGCTCCTCGAAGGGGTTGTAGATGGGCAGGCCTTTCGGAAACCCGGCCGGGGGCGGGGGAATGAGGTCAAGGAGGCCCTTGAAGTACTTGTCCACATGGAGGAGGTCCGGCACGTGGGGCAGCACTGGGGGCAGGTAGGGCAGCTTGAAGTAGGCCCCGACGAAGTGCTCGGCGATGGCGAGCCACTCATGGGCGAGCCTCTCGACGAGGCCCTGGATCTCTTTGACCACGGGCGGCGTCGTGATGGCCGTGGGGAGCAGCATCGACAGGTGGGAGCTGCTCAGCTGGCCCAGCAGGACGTGGTAGCCATCCACCTGACATACACACACATACACACACATATATAGCAAAGCATCTGTGGCTGTCCCATCCCACCCCCGATTCTTCCAACTATCCCTCACTCACCGCGAGTTTGGGCAGGTACTGGTCGAACAGTGTCTTCTGGTCATGTCCCGCCTCCTTGTGATGTCCGTCGCCGCCCAGCCGCAGCAGCTCCAAAAAGGGCGCCAGGACGTGCTCCAGGAAGCCTCCCCACTCATCCGGACTCAGCAGGTCCATGACCGGCTTGGGCAGCCCTGTCAGGAGAGAGGGCGTGATCTCGTAGCCACCCTTGAGAGCGTCCTGGAAGAGCTTGAACAGCCCCTTGTCGAAGCTGTCGGCCAAGCGCTCGATCGCGGGAATGCGCAGCTGGGCGTCCTTGATGATCGCCGCGGCCACGTCTCTGAGGTAATTGGCGCGAGATTTCTCGTTGACGGGGCCTGACAGGTCGAAGTAGCGACGGAACTCGCGCAGCACTGCACACGCAACGTCATGCAACAGACACAGACACACCACGTAGCGGGAGGGTACATGTCTCTGCCGCTGCTGCTGGTGCAGAGGTGTGTGTCTGAATGTCTCACTCTTGCCGCCCTCATGCGAGACGAAGTTGATGGATGCGACGTCCCAGAATCCGCCGCTGAGAATCTTGCTGAATGGCTCGAAGGCCTTGACGAGCTCCTTGACGAACATGTCCAAGATCTCCATAGTCTTGCTCAAAGGGCTCTTGAAGAAACCGGCCAAGGCCTTAGTCGCAGCGCCGCCACCAATGGGCTTCGTCAGCTCGGGCTTCGTCAGCTCACCCTACGCACACAATCGAGCAGAGATGCAGGCGGGACCCCCACGATTGCCCGTCCGGACCATCAGGTGGGATGCGAGATCGTCGAGGTGCGTGAGTGCGTCGAGGGGCTGGAAGTGGGGCACCTTGACGGGCGGGGGTGGCAGGAACGGCAGCTTGGGGAACATCTCGGCGTACGTCCTGGCCTCGTAGAACAGCTGCACTCACACACAACAAAGACGGAGGGGGACATCCATTGCTTCTGTGGGTCTGTGCTGTGTGGGGGTGCTGTGCTGTGCCGGGCTGTGCTGTGCTGTGCTGTGCTGTGTGTGTCTGGCGTCACCTCCTTGGCCAAGCGGGTCATGAACTCATAGACATCGGTTGTCACCTCTGCCCGCAAGAACCAAGAAAAACTACATATTATAATCGACTGGTGCAGCAGCAGCACTCTCTTTCTCACTCTCTGCGTATCCGGCAGCTGGCTGGAGCAGCTTGAAGCCCTCAATAACATTGACGCTCATCATGTTTTCGAAGACGTGCTTCTCCGCCTCGCAGTCGGCCTTCTCGCATGAGTAGCCGCCCGCCGCGAGAATCTTGTGGAAGGTGGCGGCGAGCTGCTGCATCATGTGGACGAATGGCGCCAGGGCCTCCTGCAGAAAGGTGTGGAGCTCCAGGTCGGTATACTCGACTATCTTGCCGTTGCGGTCGCCCATGAAGATGTCGGCCAGGGGCTTCAGCAAGTCGTATCCAATGGAGATCGGCTGGATGGCGGTGCTGAGCAGCGTAGGCTCTCGCTCAATCCCCAGGTTCGTTATGTACACCTCGCCGGCGGCTTGGTTCTTGCTTGGGGGCTTGCTGGGGTCGTACATGAGGCGCCGTCTGGCCTTGGGGCCGAATGTCTGGCTGAAGAAGAGGTCGCAGAGGGACTTCTCAAAGGACTTGTCCGGGAAGCGATCGCAAGTGGGGATGCGGGCCGTGACGCCGGCCAGGAGCTCCGTGGCGAGCTTCTCGAAGTAGCTCAGCAGCTCATTTCGAGGAAGCTTATCCACCCACCCCTTGCCCATCTTCAGAAACGTCTCAACATCTGAAGAAGGGATGTGGTGCGAGCGTGTGTGTATGGCGGGTTCTGTCTCTCTCTCTCTTGTCTGTCGATAGGGTTGCGTACACTTGGCAGCCGTGTGCGAGATGAAGTCGCGAAAAGCGTCCGCATAGCCTTTGAATTCGCCGGCGATGGTGGTCCACACGCCGAGGGCTTGATTGTACATGGGCATCACGAAGTCGTTGAGGAATGTCTCAATCGGCTCGATCATGACTTCCAGCCCCAAAGCGGGCAAAACCATTCCCAGTTCTTCCTTGCCGGTGGGCTGCCTGTTGGCAAACATGCCCTGAATATACAGCCAAGGGAGACACAAGAGACGCGAAAGCAGGCTTTGTAGGTCATTATGGTTTATCAGCCCTTATATTGTGGATACGTGTCGTATACTACCGAGATAAGCTTGGTGAGATCGTCCAGCACAGAAAGCGGCAGGAAGTCGACTTCCGGCGATGTGTAGAGGCTCCAGCCCTTGGGCCCCAGCGTCTCTAGGTCAAAAGCGATCAGGCTCTGCAGGTCGACAATTTCGCCGGGGAATTTGGTGGGGATTCCTGTGAGCAGGTCCAACGCCTCCTGAGGCAGAAAACAAGCCAGACAGCATGACACATCTTCTGCAGAAGTGAATGCTCGAGGAACATGATTAGTCAATTGACCGACTGTCGGCGTGTCTCGCCGTCTGTCTGTCTGTCTGTCATCCTTTTGGCTACCCTGATGATCGTGTCGCTATCGAATTTGAGCAGCTCCTCAATGCTGCCTGAAGCAAGCGTGAATGAGTGAGTGTCGATCTTCTTATGTTTCCAGCTACTGTCAAGTTTGAGAGCTACCTTCGAAGTAGAAGTAGGGCGGCAGATGGCGGGCCAGCTCGGCAGCACGGGTCGTCACGTAGCCCAGCATAGACGACACCGTGTCCGGAGGGTGGCTGCCCACACGAATCGCCGCACGCGTCTTGGCCACAACTGCACCCACAACGGCACGCACAATCAAAATGCGTCTTCATTATGCACACATGGCGATGCATGTCTCCCGTGTGTTGTGTGCGTATCGACCGAGCTGCAGGAACTCCAGGAGTTTGGGGTAGACAGTGGGCTCGTATCCCTGGAGGTCGGGGAGCTTCATGAGGCTCTCCAGCCTGAGTGGCGTGCCCACGACGATGGCCTTGCGCAGCAGGTCCTCCAGGCCCTCGGCCATAGTCTTGGGAGTGTCCATGCCGGCCTCCACTGCCGCGGAGAGCAGGCTGTCCAAGTCCCATCGCAGGGGGAACTCATCACTCAGCAACTCTGAACGAGGTACCACAAACGAAGAAGCAAACGAACAAGCAGAGAAACGAGCGCCACTCAAGTTGGTGCACGTAGCTCTTGCTTGTCCTCATCGTGTACTTGGCGGCTCGTAGTTTCGAATAGCTACTGGGAATGCAGTCGCAGTTGTGGCAACCAAACTGATCGTAACCCCAAGCAGACCAGAAAGCATTTGTGGGATGGCCAGACAACACATGCATTCCAGATGCCCGCCCACCTTTGTGTGAATGCCGCCATGTCGGCAGCCGCCGCCCCCGCTGTGTCGATGAGAGTCGGCTCCAGGAAGGAGGTGGCACCTGACCATTACCCAAGCACACACACGGACGCATCTCGCCATGATACGTGCTTCACGATGACGTTGCGTGTCAGCTTGCCAGTACCGGGGGTCTGGGCCATCACGGGGGCCGCCAGGAGGCAGCAGAGGGCGGTCAGGAGCACGACGACGGGCTTCATTAGCAGTGGGAGGGGGAAGAAAGGGAGGGAGGGAACTTCTCTGGGGCCGGGTGTTTTAGGGTAAGCTGTGAAGAGTAGTGAGACTAGCTCGCTCCCTTTTGTTGTCCCTTTCCTCCTTTCTCCTCCCTTTCTCCCCTTCCCCTCCTCCCCCCCCGTTTTTCCTTTCGCTCCCATCTCACCAACACCCACATGGCAGTCGACAGGTGCGCCTGGTGCAGCCATTGAGAGCTGTGCGTACACTGCTGCCATGGATCTCCTTGTGTCTTCGTCAGGGATTCTCTCGTTGGCTCTCGTGCTCTACGTAGAGACGCGACAGCCCCCCCATCACGGCTTTCACTCAGATTCGGCGACTCTCCACGAACAAGGAACTCCCTCGGCACGCCGTCACACGCTCCTGCCTTCCCCCCCTCCAAGGACAAGAGCTCGTCACAGCTCGTGGCAAATAGGGTCCTCTCACAACTCAAGAGGCACCCCTCGCGGCCCGGTGGTGTGCTTGGTCTGGTGTTGCGTGCTGGTGTCGTGTGGCTGCTGCTGATGGTGGCCTACGAGATCCACTGGCTGCATCAAGTCATGACGACACAGCAGACGTGGACGTGCCCAGACCGGCCTGCCGACCATGTCATCTTCCTCGCACATGGCTGGATCAGCCAACCAGACGCCATGGATGGTATGGTACACACCCAAAAACCCCAAGACACACACGTCCACACCTATAGCTGAGAAGCTTCGTGTGGACGTCTGTCGCTGTCTGTCTGTTTGTTTGTTTTGTGTGTCAGTGATGGCGATGGAGATCTCTGATCGCGCGCGGAGCCTTTACTCGACGAGCAACGGCAACAGCACTGACGATGGCGGCCCATGCGTCTTGATCCACAAGCTACACGCAAACTGGGGCATGGTTAGAAGCTGGTTTGCAACGGCCGACGGCATTGACTCCGGTGGACGGCGAATTGCCTCCGTAAGCCAGCACTCACCAAGGGAAAAGGCGACACACGTGTCGGACTCGATTGTTCTTGTGACTCTCTCTTGGCCTTTCCCTTGTCGGTCGCAGGAGATGCGTCAGGTGATTGCGTCGCACCCATCGCTCCGGAAGATGTCACTGGTGGCTCACTCGATGGGCGGGGTCTACGGGCGCTATGCTCTCGGCACCCTTCTCATGCAAGATGACCAGCGCGAGAAAGCCGAAGGCGGGGCCCTGATTGCCGGCCTCAGGCCAGTCAACTTCGTGACAATGGGCAGCCCTCACGCTGGCGTCGATGGCCACTTCTTCCCCGTCTTTGAGGAGCTTGGCGCCCTCCTGTACCTCGTGGACCTGCCCTTTGCCCTCGGCGACTTGCTGCGGCGTGTGCTTCCTCTCGGCGCCAAATACGGCCGCACCTTCACGCAGCTCTTTCTGAGGGACGGAGGCGAGTTTTTCGACCGCATCTCTGACCCCAACGGGCCGTTCTTTCGAGCTTTGGCAAGGTTCCAGGCGCGAAACGCCATTGCTGCTGCAGAGGTGACTGAGTGAGAACACACACGCACCTTCATCAATCGGTCCCCACGACGCATGCATATCTGACTGAGACGCTTGTTGGTGTCCTTTTCGCCGCCTGAATTCCCTGCAGCATGACTACCTTGTACCTTGCGCGTCATCGACAGTGCTGACGTCGTGTCCGTTTGAGTACAAGCACCTCGAGGACCCTGACTACCCCCACGTGATAGCGACCTACGCCACCATAGCTGATCCATCTCGAATGGCGCACCCCTCCCACCCCCCGCCCCCCGAAGTCCACGAGTGCCCAACCGTCCAGGAGCTGGGCCACGGCAAAGGCCTCTACCATCGGTCGACACTCGAGCATACCTTGGTCACCCGGCTGGCCGCTCTCGAGTGGACGCACACAATAGTGCGGTACCAGGGCTTTGCCAAGCTGTTCGCCCACCAGCTGCTGGTATACATGTTCCGGCGGTAAGCTGCCAACACAACAGAAACACAACCCCTCTTTCCTCTGCACACACACAATGCTCATGGCTGTGTGTGTGTGTGTGTGTGGATGGATCGCAGGACGCTTGAGGTCATCGGCGGCAAGTACCACGAGGTCCCCAAGTATGTCGCCGAACAACTCGTCTTTTGATCGGTGTGTGGATGGATGCCGGGATAGCTAGCTGACAACCACCCGATCACCTACCTGGTGGAGCGGATGAAAGGAGGGCGATGTACGTTTGGCTGCTGAGCGTGCGTAGCGGAGGAAAAGCAGAAGGCAGTGCCATGGCGTGGCATGGCGCGACGTGGGGGGGTGGGTGATGTGGCTGACGGATGCAGTGCATGGGAGGGGCCGTGTTGTGGCGCCGGCGCCTCAACCATGATGCCTGTAAGCAAGCAGCGTTCCTCGCGATCCGTGTGTGCGTCCGTGGTGTGGTGTGGTGTGAGCGGTTTTTCGCTTTCGCTCGGTCTGAGCCTCTGTGTTGCCTTGCTTGTCTCGTGAAGATCTCGATGTCTGATGTCTCTCTCTTGTCGTGTGTGTGTGTGTATGCGTGTTGAGTGACCCCGTGGTGTATTTGTTCGCCTTTATGCGGCCCGTATAGCTCACACTGCTGCATGTGGCGCGACGGCACATCGTCACGCCATCGGAGATGGATGATGCATCATGTGCGTGTGCTTCTTCCGGGTGGTGGGGTGTGAGTGATGTGGCTGTGTGGATGCATGGTCATGTCTGTGTCAGTGCATGTGTGTGTGTGGGTGGGTGGGTGTGTGTTGGTGTGTTGGTGTTGTGTGCATGTGGCTAGCCTTTTTCCAGTACCGTGTTCACTGCCGTAGGTCTCCGTGCACTAAGTTGCCTGTGCTTTGACTGTCTGGTGTTATTTTGGATGTGTGTGGTGCATGCGGTGCGTTGTGGACACACTCAAGATAGATATAGTAGGCAACTATGAGTCAGTCCTTGTAGACCTACGCTGTGCAGTCTTGGTGTCTGGCACCAAATCGTGTTGCAATTAAACGTTCCGGTGCTTTCTAGAAAACGGGTTAGAGCTGGACTATTCCGCGAAAGGGAGAGAATTAAAAGTGCCCGTACAAGGATCGACTTCCCTCCCCTGCCTCCCGCCTTGCTCCCTGCTTGCTCCCCCGTCGAGTGCACCCCTGCATCCTTCCCCTATTCGCCACCACCAGCATCATGATGCGCATCGCCGTCGTCTTCGCTCTCCTCGCCTTGACAGCGGCAGTGGCCGATCCCTATCACCATGACAGTCACTACACGTGTCCCAAGGGCTGGACCCTCAAGGGGGATGGCAAGGACGCCGTCTGCTACAAGAAGACCACCACCCACGCCAAGGTGGGACACTCACGCACACGCGACAGGCGCATGCACCCCTGGGGTGGCTTCGCGAGGGAAGGGGGGTAGATCTGGGCAGAGATCATCATCAGGGGGAGGCACGTGCAGTCAGGGAAGGCCAGTGGACGGCCTGGGATGCACGCATGTGGCCGGATCTGTGTCCGTGTCTCGCTCATGTGTGTCTGGTGGGGTGTGTGTGTGTGTGTCTGTCTCCTCCCTCACCCACCCTGCAGGAGGAGTGCCCCAAGGGCACCAAGCCGGAGGGCGGCTACCACAGGAGGAGGGGTGGTGTGGTCGCGGGTCTCCTCGGCATCCTCTTCGGCGGCAGTAGCAAGGGCAAGTACGTCGAACTGACCTGGTGAGTGAGAGTGCGTGTGTGAGTGAAGGGCATGGCATGCACCCATGCATCAAGGCGACACCGGCAACCAATTGGATGGATGTTCACATGTCCGCTGCTCTCTCTTCCCCCCCTCCCTCCCTCCCTCCCTGCTTGCCTACAACAGCTACCGATACGAGGAGCATCCCGCTGAGAAGAGCATGCACTGCCCCAAGGTGAGCGAGTACACACAAGCGGACAGGCACACTGGCGGAGAGGGGAATGGTCTGTCTGTGTGGGGTACGGTACAGGTTTACGAGCAGTACGACCACGAGTGCAAGAAGACCTCCTATGCCGATCTCGACTCTTACTGCGAGAAGGGCTACGACATGACCAAGGGCGGCTGCTACACCTACGAGTACAACGAGGAGGAGGTGGCCCACGAAGTCTACTGCCCAAAGGTGGGTGGACGGACGACTGAGTGGATGACACATTCGCCGCAATGTGTGCGCGTGTGCTGCAGGGCTACACTGCCAGCTCCAAGGACGGCAAGTGCGAGAAGTGCTGGACGGACAAGAAGGAGACCCACTGCGACTACAAGAAGATGATGACCAAGTGCCCCAAGGTGAGTCGAGCGACCAGAGCGCAGCACAGACTACACCCACCTCACACACACACCCCACACCCATTGCTGCACATCGCACTCGTTTTCTCTCTCACACAGGGCTACGACGAGAGACACTACGGCAAGGAGTACAAGTGCGTCAAGTACACGGAGGAGAAGCATGAGGGCCAGATGTACTTCAAGTGCCCGAAGGGGTATGAGCAGTATGATGACGTAAGTATGAGGAGCGGGGGGGGGCAAGGCCAGCGGAATGGAGAATGGAATGGAGGGCTCGGTTGTGCTGTGTGTGCCTCAGAAATGCATCACCTACCACACGACTGACCCTGAGTACGAGTGGCACTGCCCCAAGGGGTACAAGCTGTCTCGCGGCAAGTACTCCTACCGTGGCAAGAAGGGCCACCATGAATATGTCTGCAAGGCCAAGAAGGAAGTCCACCCCGACTACCATTGCCCCAAGGTGGTGATGAAGAACAGACAGACGATGGCCGTCACATTCGCCTCGATCATCGACCGCTTGTGTGTGTGCAGGGGTATGAGCTGCACAAGCACGAGTGCGTCGGCTACAAGGAGATGCCCGCCAGGAAGCAACACAAGAAGGGCTACGGCTATTAGAAGCATGGCGCCACACATAGCCGTCACTTGCGTGCGTGATGTATGATCGCACCCACCCACACTCCCATCGCACCGCTGACATACACACTCACTCACACAAGGACTGTTCTCGGCTATCGCACCATTCGTCCACATCTATCGCACCACACACCCCCACCCCCTCACTCCGACACACACGCCTTCGTACGTACTTGGACAGGGCTTTCTGTCTGACTGATTAGGTTAGTAAGGGTCTGGCTGTCTGGCTGTCTGTTTGTCTGTCTGCCTGGCTGTCACTCGGTCTGGTGTTTGGGTGCGTTTTAAGCTTTATGTGGCTAGTTAGTACGCGGACGGGAGGGCGGGGGGAGGCATAGTTCATGTCAGTGTCTGCTCGTAGCGCATGGGTGGCTTGGCTCTCATCCGGCGGGGCCCCCAGCTAGCAATGGCGACCAATTAGGACACCCGTGTTTTTCTGTGACACACACACACTCGCGCAATGACGTGCATCGCCATTTGCTCAAGGCGCACACAAAGAAGGAGACGGCATTTCGGTGGTTTTCGGTTACTATGTAGCAAGCAGGAGGAAGGAGGGAGAGAGGGGGGCGAGAAGGGTGAAGGGAGGGAGGGACGGGGCGGGAAGAATGATGGATGCCTGAGCGCCTGATCTCATTAGGTCCACTCATTAGGTCTAGTGTTTCGGTGCATGCACTGTGCTGACTTTTATCTGTCCGTTACTTTTGGCCGTGGGGTTTCTTTCTTTCATTCCAGCACGGACGAGCACATAGATGGACGGGTAGGGGACGATCCATGGGATGAGACACACAGTGGGGGACCAGAGACATCCACGAATATCACTTACGCAACCAACACACGTTGACGAGATGTAAACGGGCAGGAGACATTAGACATTCGTCCAGAGCATCTCCACCACGCCGACGCACCAAAGACGGATATATGGGTTGACTTGTGGCAGAGAGACAAACCAACCCTTGATTTGATTTGTGAACCACTGCCCAGCACCAACCTACAGATATGTCACACGCGTCCAAAGCACGAGTCCACATGAGCTAGTTCGTATGGCACATAATACAACAAAAGACAAACACTTGAATCCAGCACATCAAAGTGAAGCGAACAGAAGCCCACAAAGACCACCCCAGTAATGACGACTTCAAGCAAGCATTCGTTCATTCGTTCGTTCGGTACATGCAACCATACCCTGCGCTGTGCGTGGACTGACTGTTACATATTATGTCTCAAGTGGAGGCACGCCCAGCCCCGACTGCTCCCTTTGTATCTCGTCAAGCACCGCTTCGGCATCGTCGTCTGCCTTCGGGATGACCTCCACGACCTGATCGAACGTGTAATTCGCCACGTCGTATTGCCACTTGATGAGCTCGGGATTGGCCAGCACTTCGGCAAGCTCGGCGCCCTGCTTGACGTAGACCGGCCCCTGGACGGTCTTGTCCTCATCAACAACGGCCGACGCGACGATCCCAGTGTTCTGGTTGAATGTCACGACGCCCAGCTCTTCACTCGTCCCCTCAGGCGTGAGCTGCGGCGCATCTTCTCCTGTGGGGAACTCCAGACCCGCGAAGGAAGGGCTGGCCGGCAAATTCCCCATCATGTCGTCCGTCACGCCGAGAAAGGCTCCAAGGGCTGCCATGGAGTTGTCTCCCCCAGATGGGTTGAGAGGGGGAATGTTCTCCATGTCGATGAGGCCGATAAGGGAGGGACCCTCCTCCGAGATGAGCTCGAAGAAAGCCGCCAGTTCCTCGGGGGGAGGGATTGGCAGGTCTCCTGGTATTCCTGTCGGGAATGGCGGCAAGTCGCCAAACCCTGGCGGGCCGCCGGGTGGGGTCGGAAATGGCAAGTCGCCAATGCCTGGCGGGCCAGGTGGCTCTTTCGCCCCCTCCTCTGGCAGCAGGCCCAGGGGGTCCTTGGGGAGGCCCTTCGAATCTTCCTTGGATGGTGGCCCTGGGGGGAAGAAATCTGGTGGCTCCTTGGCTGGCTCTTGTTCGGGGATGACGACGGCTTGCCAGCCAGCCGGCCGCCTTGCGCTTTCGCCGCGCCCCAGCCTCCGCCTCCTTGCCGGTCTCGCTGATTGTTGTGGAAGCAGGGAAGGCTCGTTGCTCTGCAGAAGCTTGTTGAGGAAGTCCGGGCATTTGGCTTCCAGCTTTGACCGAAGGGCTGGGATGGAGGGGTAGGTGACGAACCTCGTGTGGAGGCGGTACGGGACAACGCCGTCCCACCAACGGAGCTTGGGCAGCCTGAAACACAGGACGCCGCACGATAGGCCGCACTGACAGGAAGACAGATAGACAGACAGACAGACAGACAGACAGACAATGAGAGGCACATACATACACACATACATACACACATACATACGGGGAAGGCAAGTCAAGTGTCATTGCTTGCAAGGCGGTCAATAGGTTGGTAAGTTTCTCCCTCTTTAGTGTCCCGTACCAGTTTGAAGTCGATTGCGGCTGTGACAGGGCATCCATCCTTGATGAGCTCGACGGGCGCGCACTTGTCATTGCTGGCTTGGTACTCAAGCGGCGCCTCCTCGCAGTGTGACCGCCTTGCGTACACGTGGTCCACCCACATCCAAGCGCTGCACTTTGGCCGCATGTTGACCTGCGATGCTTCGACTTGCAGCAGGCGCCTGCGTCTCCGTGCAGCGGGCTTGCTGTCCATGTAGTCGCTGAGGTACTGGGCACCAATCCTCGCCCCGTTGAGGAAGGTGACGGCGACCTTGCCGCCGATGTTGTCCACATCATCGACTGATTGGATGTTGAGCGCATCGTCGACGCCCTCATTGACAAAGTCGAGCCCCCCGTTGATCTGCGCCAGGAATGGGTAATCTTCGATCGGGTTGGCCCCTGGCTGCTGCATGACACCTTCTGAGAACTGATTCAGCAGCTGACCGGCACCAGTCATGGCCGCCTGGCCCTGGTCGGAGCCCAAGAACTCTGCCACCGCTGCCGCCTCTCCCAGGTAGCCGAGGTCGTCTCCCTCTCCGGTCTCGCCATTGGCCGCCTGCACAGTGACCTCCCACGTCGCCTCGCCCCTCACGGTCGTCGTGTCGTTGACAGTGGTCACCCAGCACCGACATATGACATTGTTGTTTGCCCCTTGGTGGCGAAGCTCGTTCTCGTAGAGGATGGTGTCTCCCGTCCTGTATACTCGCATGCCGCAGCTGCCTTCGCCCTTGAATATCGCTGTGGCGCAGACGTCCCCTCCGAAGTCGTTGGGGTCGGTGAAGATGTCGCTCCTCAGGGTCGCCTTGCACTGTTCGGTTCCGCTCAGATATGCAGGCCTGCGAAAAAAAGAAAGAAAGGAGCAAGACAGCCAGGAATGCTTTGCGTCATGTCTCGATGCCTAGCTTCCGCTGTATGAAAAGAACTGCGCTTACGCGAACGCGCCTTCGTATTGGCCGTTGAGGGCCACTAATGGAATGCAGCACTTCATGCCTTGATTGAAACACTCAACCTTCGGCCTGCCCGCTACACGCGCATGCGCACACGAGATACAGACGAGAGAGAGACATGTACCAGCCAGAGTACCCATCTATGTGACATACATATATACGGCTGATCTCCTTTTGTCTGACTTACATCCTGCGGGAGGCAGGCTCTCCAGTTTGAGGTTGGGGTCCTGGGCAGGCACAGGCAGCCGCTTGACCACGCCTGCGTCCCTCGCAACCAGTGCCAGCGAAGCCACCTGACCGACATCCACATACTTGGCGACTTCCATGCCCAGATTCAGACCAGTGGACAGCGCCTTTGAGCCAGTCGACAGAAGTGCGGGCAGATCCTGGGCGAAGGCACTGTCCCCAGCCAGGGCAGCAGGGAAGGTACCCAAGGGGAACGGGGCTGCGGCTCCAGGGAGGAAGATGCCACCGGCATTCGCCAGCCCCCCTGCCAGTCCCCCTGATGCCTGTTCGTTTTGTGCGCCTTGGTCGTTCTGGCACACCGCCGGACCGGACACGGTGCCTGGGGACGAAAACTGGCCGGTAGGGTTGCTGAAGAGGGTGCACTCGTTGGGCGGCCTGAACGAGAATTTGGTGCAAGCCACGGGAGTCAAGGTCTGCTCGCAGACGGCCTGGCAGGCGGCTGCTGTGTTGAAAGCCGTCGGTCTGTCGATGACAGTGCCGCCGTCCAGTACAGTGTTGTCCGTAAAGCAGTTCACAGAACCTGACACGCGTAAGCAGACGCACCGCAGGCACGATGTCAAGTACGCCAGCCGATGAAGTTGTCTGCTTGCTCACCTTGTGGTGCGGCTCCATTCGCTGCGACAAGTGCGCTGAGCAATGCTGCAGCCGGATCGTTCTGCTGACCCACTTGCTGCCCCTGTCCGGCACTAATGGCGCCTGCCATTTGCCCCGCCAGCTGTGCACCGGCACCAATGATGTCACCGATGGGGATCTCGCTGATGGGGATGCCCTGCAGGCGGCGTCTTCTTACGTCTCTGGCCGACTTTTTGCGCTGCTGGAAGTTGAACCAGGACTGTGCGTAGTCCTTGAAGAGAGGCATCGCGGGAACCTGGCCTGGCGTGAAGATGCGGCGGTTGCCGCTGAGGAGGGAGGCGAGAAGCATGTCGGGCGCTACCATGTCTCCGAGGGCCGCCTGAACCATGGCTGCTGTTCCAAGAACAGACGCCGTCGCCAGGCTGGTGCCTGTGTAGGTAGTCTGTTGGCCGGATGAGTCCAGGGTGAGCAGACTGCCAGGAGCCCACAGCACGTTCCGTGTGATGAAAGGTATGTTGGTGTAGTCTGTCGGCTTCCCAGTCGCCGCATCGATGGAGCACACACAGAGAAGGGCCGCACCGGGGACATCACAGAGGTTCCAGTCCAGGTAATTCTTGAGGCTGACTGGTGTCTTGGAGCCTTGCAGGGTGGGCAGTGGGGTCGACTGGAGCTGCGGCTGAATGCCTTCGTTGCCGCACGGGATGAAGAATACGTGGCCGAAGCGCGATGCCCTTTGCATGGCCGTCTTGAGGATGTGGGGTCCGGCTTTGGCCTGCTGTGACGAAGGGAACTCGCCGAACCCAAGGGCGAGGTAAGCCATCGATGCCCTCTGCTGAACAGAGTATTCGATGGCCGCCAGCACATCAGCAAGGTCGGCTCCGCCCTTCTCTTCGTCCCAGACTTTCAGCGGCATCGCGAGCGGCGCAATGCCAAAAAGCTTTGCATTGCAGCCAATGCCCTTCACCGATGTGGTCGTGTCCTTGGTGTCGACCTTGCTGTCGCAGTTGCCGGCATAGAGCACTCCTGCCGCTGTGTCGTGGGTACCCACCCCGCTGGCGAGCGCCTTTGCTTCGCTGTAGCCGCTTCCGCCCTTCTGTGGAGGCTTTGTGAAGTCGTAGCCGACGAAGTCGTCCACGAATCCATTGCCGTCGTCGTCGATGCCATTGTGGGGGATTTCGCCATTATTGCGAAAGAAGACGTCACCGACCAGCTGGTCGGCCGGCCGGCCCTCCTGCTTTTCCACTTCAGCCGCCTCCTGCACATTGGCGACTCCCTCCCAAGACGCGCCTCCCAGCTCCCCCATTGACATGGGTGCCATGGCCTCGATGAAGAAGTCCATGCCCGTGCCGATAAAGGAACTGAGGACCCCCCGCTGTCGCCCGGGAGCTTGATCAGAGCTCGTCTCTGCTCGTCTAGCATATTCTGACCCCTGGTAGGCGTTGAGGACATCCTGTAGCGGACCGACCCCGCCGAAGAGCTCGTCAGTGGTCTGGCGGAACCATTGGAAGTCCATGCGCTCGGTTGTCTTTATGTCGCCGCTCGGCCCGTTGGGGCTGAGAAGGTTTCCCAAGAAGCCGCCTTGGGAGGCTTGCGTCTGGGAGATGCTGGTCATGAGGAAGGACGGCGTACACGTGACCATGTTCTGATAGGGCCTGAGCAAGTCCCTCAAACAAGCATACTGGGTCTCGTCTCGCACGCTGAAAAGCTCGATGCCAAGCGATGGGAGAAACTGGTTGCTGAATAGCTCTGGGCACAAAGCAATGCGCCCTCGCCATGCTGACATGAGGTCGTCCAGCAGGCTTACGCGATTGGCGTCGAGGTTGCGTTGTAAGCCGTCGTTGAATAGGCAGATGACGCGCCTTAGCGGGCCCTGGGAGCCTCCTTTGGACGGTTTGGGACCCTCTTGTGTGCCAGAGGTATCTCTGCCCGGCGGGAACGGGCCACCGAATACGGGCGGGGATGGCGATGGAGGCCGCAACGGGAAGAGTTGCCCTGTCGCCGTGATGAACAGACAGAGCGACGCAAGTGTCAGCAGGCAGACACGGGAGCCCGAGGAAGCAGTCATGATCTGCTCAAGAACAAGCACGCGCAAGCAGTACATCATGACTCGCTGACAGAGGCATTGACATCCTCGTTCATTAATTACCCGATGTGATGAGATGTCGCGGTCCATTCAACGAGGTGCACGAAGAGGAGAGGACCGAGGAGGAGCTCAAGCGAAGCCGATAGGTCCGCGAACTTGCTTGATGATGATCTCGGCCCCACGAGCTCGCAATGGGGCCGAGAAGAGCGGCAACAGATTTGGACAAGACGTACACCTGGGAGTGACGAGCAAATGCCGGAAAGACACACGACTGTCCAACGAAACCGAGGCAAATACTGTTGGCTGGTGAGAGACCGTCAACTAAGTTGGTGTATCCATCATTGCGTCACAAGTAGAGTTGTCTCCGGCCACTTGCTTGATGGTGTCTACTTGTACTCCGTGGCGACATTATCACGCCATTGGCAGGTCTTGCTTGGTAAGCAAGATCACGAAGCAAGATCTTTGATTTTCCAATATACAGCGAACGAACGAGATGCGGCTGAGGCATGCAGTATACTTACGAGAATGGGCTGCTCGGAAGTATACTGTAGAGGAGTAGACACACAGTAGTAGAGACGCGATAGAGGAGTAGTAGAGACACGGTATGAAGGTCAGATTAAGCGTGCCATATCCATTTTCAGATTGACCATTCAACATTCATTGATCCATTTATCCATCTTGGCAAAGAGGTCCAGAAGTGAATGATTCATTCAATCATCCGTTCATCGCTGACACATCGAAGGTGATTGAGAGCGTGTCAGTGATGAGTAAGTGGCAATGCGATATCACACTGGACGTGCGTCACGAGTTTGTTCATCATGACAACATTGACCGAGCGAAGTATTCATGACATGCATCAGAATTAGAGAAATCCATAGCGCATGATTTGACGAGAAAGCAAAGCAGAAGGCCAATCAAAGGCCCCAAAGCACATCCTCAATGACATGTCTACATCTGTGTACGACGGCACGCTGCAGTGACTGCACATGACACGATCGCGAAGCCGCCGCATGGACTCTAGAGACATATGTAGGTCCAGCTAGTCTGTGATAATTGTGACGGGTATGCTGTCATCACGGAAGTCGACAACGGTCCTATACTCTCCAATCATCGCCTCGACAATACCTTCTGTGGCAACGAAAGCCTCTCCTCGCTGCGCATCCAAGAAGAGTTTGACGGTCGGCGGCGTGATGGCGCCCAAACCGAGTTTGTAGGGCCTTGTTCTTTTGGTCGTCTTGGCGGGAATGCGCTCCGGATCACTGCGCCAATCCAGACTCGTTCGGCCAATCTCTCTGATAGTAGATGCACAGCAGTGACAGATTCATGAGCAGACTCCCGCCACAGGGCAGGGGACATTGATTCGTGTGGTGCATGACGTGTTCATCACTGACTGTCCATCTGCAAACATAGTTGTGTCGATGTAGAGCAGCAGCAGATCAACAGAGAAGGGGTTTTGGACGATGAGACGAGAGTTGATGTCCGGGGGCCTGCCTGGAGCTGGCAATGCCTGCGAAGCAGCAGACACGTCAAGCGAGACATCAAGAGAGACATCAAGAGAGACATCAAGAGAGGTACACACAATGTGTGGCTGACCCCCATGGTGAGTTCTGCGCCCTGCATCAACTCGGCTGTCCCCCCTCCCAGCGCTATCCGTGACTCCCATCGACTCAGCGCCTTCTTCAGCAGCTGCACATCCGTGCTGCCCTCACTGCCCTTGAGCACCACAGCAATGTCCTTGCCCGACACATATTGCGATATCACCCGCCGAGGGCCCTGAGCTTTATCACCCGACACCGTGGGGAATAATCGCACATCAATGGACATCTTCGCCTCTGTGCCGGGGAGCAGGGCCAGCTTGTAGATGGTGACCTCACCCACGTGCACCAGCGTGTCTCCACTTTCCGCTGGAGGCACCGCTTCCTCGACTGCACGCGGCGTGGCAGCAAGCGAGCCCCCTTCAGCAGACATGGGGGGAGGGAAGAGCCGAGGCCGCTCCGGAAGATCCTTCTCGCCAACGTAGATATCCAGCCGCACGTCGCCTAGCTCGGCGCCGAAGGATGCGCCACCCTTGAGACCGATCTCTGTGCTCATGATAAGGCCATCAGTCCGGCCACCTGAGACGGTGACGTTTCCTACCGCCAGGGAATCGTCGCTGATGCCACCCAAGTCTGCAGGGCGAGAGAAAAGCACAGCATATCATCAAGCACCAGCCATAGACGTGCTCAAGCCACTCCTTCTTCTGTCTGTCCGTGTGTGTGAGTGCATACGTTTGAGGTCCTGGTCGATGTTAATGTTGATGCCATCCAGGTTGAGCTCGCCGAGGTTGGTCGCGACCGCAATCGATGCCTGTCCGGCCAAGTAAAGCCTTGTTGCCCCAGGATCATAAAAGACAGCGGCGAGGAAGTCCTCGAAAGCACTCTCCTCACTCTCTGCGACCACGAGCAGGGCATCATCGAAGACTGCTCGGAATCGTAAGGGCTCTGGGGCTGAGAGGTCAGCTGTGGTGACGGTGAGCCGGCCGATTTGCACCGGTGCATCTTCAGGTTCGCCGTCCATCTCAGGGAGAAAGGCACGAGACAGGTCCGTGACCAAAGTGACCCGGATTATCTGAGCCAAAAGGAAAACATCACTTGCTTCTCACTCTCCCTGACTATGCACTAACGTCAAAGAAAATGTCGATTCCTTCCGGCAGCGCAAGTCCCACCGCCACATCGCCCTGCAGCACGGGGCTATCACCCCCCACAAACGAAATGACCAGGCCGCCGATTTCCACGTCCCTCAGGAAAGACATTCCCGTGCTCGTGAGGAGAGATATTTTCAAGGATATTGCCATCTCTATCGCAGATATGGCCTGCTTCACCCAGTAGGGAGTCGGGGAGTCGTCTTTCTCCGCCCCCTTAAGTGTAATCGCAACGTCATCACCTGACACGACCGACGTCATCAGGCTGGCCGCCGTAGGGAGGTCAGTGTACCCGGGGGTGAGCTCTCCGACGATGTTAAGGTTGTTGCCGCCTGAGCTGAGTCTGAGATTGGGTGCGGTGAGACGGGCAAGGGGCTTGTCGTCGACATAGGCATCGAGTTTGGCGGTCCCAATATCCATGTAGGCTATCAAGGGACCCGTCCGCCCCACCGACTCTGCCCCACCGACCTGCAGGTTGACGGCCGCGTCGAGCTGTAGGCCATCACTCGCATCAGACAAGCCCCAATTTTGCAGTCCTCCCTCATCGACACCGACACCAAGGCCGGAGAGAGTGATTTCATTGCGGAAGGGAAGATCGTACACGTAAATGCGGCCAAGGTCGGACATGACGGAGGCTTCTACCGTCCCATAGACGGTGAGGGGGAGGCCTCCCTCTCGCTTCGCCTTCCCTCCCACAAGGTCGGCAGCCAGAGCACCGAAAGCCCTCCCTTTGTCGGGGAAGATGAGATCCGTATCCTTGAAGGATAGAATAGCGACCTGCCTGCCGCCTGAGGATTCAGTGGTGACGTCCACGAGGCCGGTGTCCGCATATCCAATCAGATCGTCGCTCTGATTGAGCTTCATGATCACCCGGACCTGCTGCACTGTGATAGGTAAGTCAGGCCCTAAAGGCGATTCAACCCCTGCTCGCACAATAGCTTCGAACATAACGGCATCATTCACAGAATCGTCGCTCCCGCGTCGTGCAGTGATGCCAATGTCCGAGACACGGACGTCACCAAAAGCCCCACCGCTGTCTCCGACCACATCTATGTCGACCTCAATTGCCTGGGCCACCTGCTGCAGCCACTCCGGGCTTGCCCGCCATGAAGCGGTGTCCTCTAGACGGATGGACTTACCCACCAGCTTCAGAGCTGCCGGTTTACCCCCAATGTACTGCGATACGAACGAGTCGAGAGCGTCGCGGTCGCTGCCAGTCGTCGGCCGAACAAGTGAGCCCACTACTGCCATCTTGTTGGCGCCTCCCTTGAGTGCCAGCGGCTTCAAGCTGATGTCTCCAAGAATACTGCGTATGGCGTTCTGCCCGGGCGGCATATGTGTCACGTCAAAGACGGTAGTGCCGAAGTTGAGGCTTAACGGGAAGGACTCTGGCAGGGCGAGATCTAGAGTTGAGACAATGCCAAGTCCGGTCCGGCCGGGGGGAGGATCACCGAACTGAATCTTGTCCAGTGAGGCGCTGGATAGGTCAATGGACCCAGCGTCGTCTCCCAACAAGGGCAAAATAGTCTCAAGAGGCATTTTTCCGATAGGCAGGGTGCCAAGAATGCTGCCAACCGTCACTGCGGCTGCACCGACAAGCTGCAGCGTAAGCTGCTGTGCTGACGGCCGGTCTTCCGATAGTAGCAACTTGACCAGGTCGGCAAATGCCTTGCCGTCTTCCTCTACCTTCAGTGTGCCCTCAAACTCCCAGCGGATGTTGAGATGGTTTGTGTTGACGCCTGTCTCCCTGTTCATGAGCACTGCAGTCTGTGGTGGCACACGAAGAACGCCGATCTTCTTGCCATTTGGCCCTTGAAGATTGCCATTGATGGCGAGCTCTTGCACATCGAGACGGGAATCTGGCCCAAGCGGATCTCTGACCCTAACCACTAGGGCCCCCCTGAGCTGCACATCGTCGTCCCCAACAGGCTCCAAGCTCAGAGACGAGGCGTCTACCGACTCGACAAGGGAGTCGCCACCCAAGATGCTGAAACACGAGAAGGAAGGAATGAAGTGTTCCATGTACCATTGAGACTGATCAGCTCACCCAGTAGTCGGCATGGATAATGCGACGCCACTGAGCACCCGGGTCAGCCAAACAGGCGGTCTCTGCCTCATGGACCTTGGCATGATTTTTATCGTCGCCATGTCATCGCTGCCGAAGAGCGCATTCACCAGCTCGCCAAAGAATGCCTCAGAGTCCACCCCCTGGGGCGACTGCAGCATGCCCCTGACCTCCAGACGCGACTCCTTTGGCGCTGGCGCCAGGTTGGTTTCCATTGTTCTGAAATCGCCTATCCTTTGCGTGGTCCCGCCGACGTCCCGCTGTACAATCCACTGCATATCGGCAAGTCCCAGGCCAATTGGCGCAGGATTGCGGATAGTCAGTGCCACCGAGATCACCATTCCGTTCGCACTCTCGCCGGACTGCTGCAATGACCGCGGCCCGCCTTCTTGTGGCTGAGGTTGCAAAAAGCCTGGTGCGATGGGAGTATCGGAGCCCGAGGGGAAGAGAAATTCCTCGATCGTCAGATTGTGCATCTCGAACAGAGACGTGGCGGCATCTCCCTCGTCTCCTGAGCCCCCCATGGACAGCTCCCTATCGATCTCCACTTCGCCCAATTGCAAGCGGCCTAATGGGGTGTCGACAGTAGCATCTATCCTCCCGACTAACCGAACAACATCAACAGTGCCAGATGATGTCTCCTCGCCGACAGAATCGAAGATCCTCTGTTTGAAGGTCACGAAAGTGTCGAGATCGTCCACTACGAGGGGGACGGAGAGCGGGACCGTCACGGCAAGTCGGCTAGAGCCATCACTCTGAAGGAGACACAATGAGGCAGATGAAGTCCCGCCTTCTGTCGGAGGGTTTCTGCTTACACCATTGACGTATCTCCTATCCTCCGTCTTGACGGGTGGAGACTCGATCCTCCCTAACACAGGCGCATCGTTTCTTGCTCCATTCACCAGTGAAAGAGACATCGCCACAGATTCGATCACAATGTCCTGAGATGAGCCCAAAGGGTTGTTGATCACGACGTCAAATGAGCCCTCCATGGGAATGGCAGACAGCTCAGCACCGTCCTGCACTTCGTCGAAGCGCAAATACAAGTCCTGGGTCTCAACCGATTCAATCAATTCTCCCCCACGGATAGACTCCGTCAAGCTGTCTAGGCTGAACGAAGAATTCCCCGCACAAATGAAGCCAGGAGACAGACAGATCACGAGGTGTATGGAATGACATGCGTCTCTTATGACCTTGTCATGGTCGTATCGAATTTCACGCCCTCCGCTACTTTCGTCACCCAGGCCGGCAGCATCTCTTGTTCCCCGCTACTGGTCCCGACAGGGTAGCCTAGTCGCACCCCTTCCAGTCCAATTCTCAAAGGGGTGGCTGCCAGAGCCGCCTGTATCAACTCCTGAGCTTGCCTCTCGTTGGCCTCTGTGCGCCATAGGTAGCCCCTAAGCCGCACTTGGTTGTCGCCCGGCTCGAGTACAAAAGGTGTGTTAATCTCCAGTGCACCGACGTCTTGGTTGCCATATCTCAATGCGCCCAACAGGGTCAGTTTGCCGAAGTCGATCGTCAACGCGAGGGTTGACGTCAGTGTGATGGCAATCTCTGTCGCAAGCTTGCTCTGAAGGACCGCCACTCTGCCGTATTCCCCAAAAACATTCGCCATTTCGAGGGCCGTAAGGTTGTCGAAGTCCTCGACGAGACGAAAGTCATCCACACTGACCTGAAGGCTTTCTTTTTGCTGACCATCCTCTGCCTCGCCAGACAGATCGAAATTTGAAGTTACACGTAATCCGTCGAGGTTCAGCCGGCCCAGTGGAGTCTGCACGTCGACTCTGGCACTACCTTGGATGCCAAGAGGGGCGGCAATCGTGGTCGTACGCTCCATGAGGCTGCTGACAGTATCGGCAAATAGCGATCCATCTCCCGTGGGGCTGAGAATGCCCTGCAGGGGGAAATCAAGACGGATCTTGCCGTTGTCGAGCACCTGCATGGACCGACCGACACACAAACTGGACACACTTCCATCCTACAATGTCAGATTGTTATCGGTGTCAGTTCACAACTCGCCTTCTGTTCGATCGCAAGGATCTTCGTCTGCTGTTTGACTTCAGCGAAGCACTCCCCGCGTCTCGACAGTAGATTAGCACTCAACTCGAGGTTTTCGACCGTCACGGGCGACCGTTCCCCCAACGGGTTGACAATGATTACCCCCACCTCAGCTACAACACTTATGGCTCGCTGTGGCTCTGTCAGGCCTCCTAGATCAGCCTGGAGACCGCGTATCGACACGTCCTCGACCAATTCACCTCCACCCGTCAAATCGCTCAGTGGGGGAAGCTTCGTCTCGATGGCCACCGTGCTCAATGCCTCCTCAAGCCACTTCGGCGGCCCTCTTTCTTGCACAAAGGGCACTGTCTTGACGATCACGGGAAGATTGCCGCCTTTGACATACTCGCTGAAACGCCGAGACACAACGGCTAGGTCCGAGGCTGCCGGGTTGAGTCTCCCGGTGAGCTTGATGGGCGTCCTGCCTGGGCGCAGGTAGACCGCTCTTGCCTGCACGATGCCAAGCAGCACAGCCAAAGCCCGTGCCTGCAGCAGACGTCTGGCGGGATTGGCAGGGCCAGCGTCACTGGAAGGTGGCAGGTACAGTTCGAAGGAGAGGTCACCCAAATATAGCGATGCCTCCGATGGGTTGAGGATGTCTGCCGTCGCCGAGATAGCAAGTCCCTGATCGTCCGGCGGTGGCCCCTCAAAGACGAACGAATTCAGGTCGACCGATATGCCCTCGCTCTCCTGGCTGCCCATTGGGAGTGTCATATCGAGAGGTATGGCCGACAGCTGCAGGGGAATATCAAAGTATGTCCGATCCCCATCGTCATTGACAGTGGCGCTGACGTCGATGTTCATTTCCGCCGTTCCACTCATCCGCAGCAAGGCATAACCCTCCCGAGCAAGGTCGGACACGAAAGCTGCGAACGGTATGGTCAGGCCTGGCTCGCGAAGGGCTGCATTGTCCAATGCGAGAGCCTCCCTCTCGAGAGTGATGGTGTCATTGATCTGGAAAAGCAGTCTGAGCTTGTCGTTGCCGTCCACTTGCTTAACCTCTTGGACTAGAGGAGCGCGGCTAGAGAGAATCAGGCGACCGATGGTGAATGAGGGAGAGTCCTCGCTCTCTCGATAATAGAGTGTGGAGTTGATGGAGACGTTGCGGACGGCGAAGGGCACGTCGGGGCCGAAGGGCCTGATGGCGGTGGCGTCAAGGACACCTGAGATGATGATGGTGTCTTCATCCACCGGCTCCAGCGACAGGTTGAGAACGTCCACATCTTCCAAGAGCTCATCGCCCAGGCCACTACGAGAAAAGACACACACACACACCAGAGGAGCATTTGTGTGTTCCTGATGAGTGTGTGACTACATCTTCAATTGGTGCGTACCCAGCCAGACTAAATTCCAATGCCAGCTGATCGACTATCGAACCCAGCCATGGAGGCATCTTCGTTTGCGTGCCTTGCTTGTCGTCATGGCCAGTCACTTGGATGGGCAGCGATCGACCCTGAAACAAACCTTGTACCAATCTGCTCATCTCCTCCGGCACAGTAGACGCTTGCGCGTGCTCATCCGCCGCTATCGGACCTTCCAGGCGTAGCCGAGACACGTCTGGTGCTGGCACGATGGTGGGAGACACCATCTTCAGATCGCCGCGAAGGGCCAGTGATTTGAGGTATACATGCAGCGGTAGATCCAGGTCATCGAATATCACGCCGAACTCCGAAGGGTTCGCTACAGCAACGTCAATCAAGACCTCCATCGTGAGGTCTTTCGTCGCATACGAGCCCCCCGGTCCCCGAAACGGCGATGACGGGTTGATCTCCAGCTTCGTGACTTCGAACATGACGAGCTTAGGCCCTAGGCTGTCGAAGAGATTACCTGGCGGGAGGGATGTGACCTCGTCCACCGGCAGGTTGGAAAGGTCGAGGCGACCAATGGGCGTATCGACGCTTGCTGATACATTGGCGTTGATAATCAGCCCGACAGGTGCATTCGAAGCTCTCCCACCGAACAGAGTGTCTGTGGCAAAGGAAACAATTGTGTCGCCGCTCCCGATAAGGACCATATCGCCGATGAGTGGCATGCGTATAGCCAGGTTGTCTGGTGTGCTGGCGTTCATCATGATGGCCTTGCTGGGGTATGTATTGACGCGCGTGAGAGGGCTGCCGTCGGACCCGCTGATGGTAGCGGCCAGACTGTAAGTCTCCACAATCACCTGCTGTCCTCGAAGGGGGTTCTGAATCTCGACGTCGAGGGTGATATTCAGTGCCAGCCGATCAGCGATCTCACTGATGGTGACAGTCACGCTGTCGTACTCGAGACTTTGCACCAGCTCTGAGACACAGCCCGCCGTCTCACTTGTCTTTTTGGTCAGCTCGCACAGGGGTGGAAGCGTGGTGATGGTCTCGAAGGAGGACACAGCGTCATAAAACCATTGAGGCCGGCTTGGAATCCTCTCTGAAAAAGTCCACAGTGCGCCCTTCGGTGGCTGGACGATCGCCACTCGCAAAGACAGAGGCTCCTCGCGCAGATAGGCTGAAAGCCCTTTAGAGACTGCAGGTAGGTCACTCTCGTCAGGCCTCAAGCGTCCCTCGAGAGCTAGTGTGTTGTTGCCTGGCATGATGTTGACATTGTACGCCACCAGGTAGCCGAGGAAAGCCGCGCTCTGGAGACGTCTCCCTCTCGACAACTGTGCATCGCCCTCCAGTGTGATTTCAAAGGCAAGGTCCCCCAGCGAGATTGACGCGTCTGAAGGGTTGATCAGCGTGGCGTTGGCAGCAAGGTCAAGTGCATCTTCCTTGCTGGTGGATACAAAGTCGAAAGCCGACAACTCGATCGCCAGACCTTTATCGGCCCCACCTTCGCCGGTGTTGCTTCCCAGGCCCGTGAGCTCCTGTGCTGTCTCGATGGTCAGGTTGGGAAGAATAAGTGGCCCCAGTGCGGTTTCCAGTCGCACTTCAGCGGCACCTTCCTTGATCAACATAGAGACCGACGGCTCAGTCAGGAATGCTCTGGTGAAGGCGCTGAAGGGCTTCCCATTCTCTGTTAGCGTCATAGTGCCATCGAGGTCGAACTCCAATGGCCTCTCAGCAGACAGGTGGCGGCCCGCGTATGGGTATCCAATATAGCTGGACGTCTGCTTGACGATTAAGCTGGACGCAACGTACGGGCCATTGCCATTCAGCCAATCGTACTTGGACATGTCTGCCGCAAACACGCACTGGCAATGCACACAGTCTATTGGTTATCCCTCTGCAAATGCTCTGTTTACTTGGAGGCGAGTCGCCACGTGCGACTGGCTTGAGAAGGGCGCGCAGCTTGGCGATGCATGGCTCTCCTGCCGCATTGCCGTCATGGATGGAAGCGGTCATATTCACCTATGTAGCAGAGCACACCAGCAGCTTTGATGATGCGAATTAAACCCCTTGCTTTTCTTCTCTCTTTCCCTCCTTGCTTTCCCTCTCACCTGATCGACATCTATCGGAGAGTTTTCCCCCAAGGGATTCTCGAACACCACCTCTACCCTGCCACCAAGGCCAACCGTCGTGCCGCTCGCAGTCGATGGTTGGTCATCCGGGGTTAGGTCGATCCGCAGGCCTTCGAAGGATAGAGATTTGAACACGCCACCCAGGTTGGGCAGAGGACCGATCGATGGAGAGACCTCCAGTGCTTCGACAGCAGCTGTGATGTCGATACACACACACATGAAAATCGTCTTCTGATCAGCACAGCCCTCACATCTTTCTCCTTGACCCCCTCTGGCCGTGGCTTACTTACAGTTGAAGACTGTCTTGGTCGTCCCGTTGCCGTCCACAATCACATTTTCTGGAAATGCGCCGTCAACCACGGCCGCCACAAATTTACTGATCACCCCCGCCCTCTCCGGAGACCCCTCCCCGGCCACAACCACCTCCAGCTTTCCGTTCATCTGCCACTTGTTTTGTCCTGGCTGTATGGACGCCTGGCTGGCTTTAAGGGATCCGACAGAGATGCCTTTGTAGACAAGGCTGAGACTGACGTCGCCGAGCTGGTTGATAGTCAGCTTAGAGGCAGACTCGAATTGGGCGGTGAAGGAGATGTCGACCCCGCCGGAAACCTTGTCACTGCCGTCCATTCTGATGTTTCCGGTACTAAAGTTCGTCAGAGCTGAGCCCAAGGATGATCCCATTGCTGCACACCGAGTACACATGAAGCCAGAATACATGTAAGAGCTTCTGTCTCGCTATGTTGTTGAATCGGTCACCATCGGCGTCCAGCGTCCTGTCGAATTCCAGGTCTGATATGCCGATCTTGATCCCAATCAAAGTGATGTGCACTGTGAAGGGCTTAGGAGCCACCACACGCCACGTCGGCCGGCTCCCATCGCCACTTTCTCGAACCAGCTGTGCGGTAAAGCGATTCCACGCATCGATGTCCGTGATGGTGAAGGAGGTGTTGAAGGCAAGCGCGGATCGGCTGCCCTTGAGCCGCATCTTTGGCATGGTAAACCTGCCGAGTCTGCTCTCACCGCTCGCCTCCACTCCATACGTGTCCAGCGAGAGTGGTGGCAAATCGGCCTCTATGTCCGAACCGAAACTGCTGCGGCGAAGCTCGGCATCGATCTTAATGTAAAAGCCGTCTTGTCTCGGTGCGGTGATATTGATGCTGTCGATGGCCAGCTCACTCGATCCAATGACTGACTCGACGATAGGCTTCAGGCCGACAGTAAAGAAAAGTGCCAGACCCACACCCATCAGCAGAAGCAAAGCCACGGCCACAATGGCCGATATACATAAGCAGCGCTGCCATCGATTGCCTCGAAGCGGCCGCGTCAGCCAAGCAATGACTGAGCCGCCTAGTCTCTTCTTCCCGGAGGGGGAGAGTTCGGTGCGCGAGGATGGAGCAGGTTGCGGGCTCCGTGGCGTAGATGATGGTGATGACGGCTGACCGGCTTCCAATCTGGATCTGCCCGTGCACGGAGAGGGGGTCGCGGCCGAGCGGTTGGCTGCAGGGCTGGCCGCTGCTGGGGCTGCGGCTGATCTTGCCCAGGACGTGAAGTTGAGGACGCGTTGGACGACAGATGCGCTGACCGTGGTATTTGTCCGCCCAGTTGATCCCGCATCGTCATCTGTTCTCAATGCGCTCATGGGGGATGGCTTTGGCGAATGAGTCTCCTGAAATTCAGCAGGCTGACTCATCTTCGGCCGGCTGAACAGACGAAGTAAGGACTGGCTTCGGAAGCTGCGATGAGGGAACAGACGCGGTCGTGACGGTGCTGTGAGTCAGTCTCGGGGCTGAATGCGGGGGGTCTCGGGAGTGGCAAAGACGGATCGTTACAGCAAATGCCCGAAGTATGCGAGAGTGTGCATTTGGAGGGGGAGGGAAGGGGCTCGCGCTCAAGTTGGGGCCGTTCAGGCACGCAGTGGCCCCAAGTTCTGCGGGCAGCTCGCCGAGCTTCTGGAAAATGAGGACGAAAGCATTGCTCGTTCAACTTGTTGTTATCGCATGCTGCTTCACGGCGGCGCTCACAGAGCCCTGGAAACACCATTTTAAGAGGCACCCATACGAAGAGACGTTCAGCACCAAGCACCCCCCGAATCATTTGGAGGATGTCAGGGACGCCGACGGTACGTAGGGAGTAATGGCACATGGTCTTGCATTTCTTGTGTCCTTGCTATGTGTTGTTATCCATAGTTGAACTGCTCGAGGCACTGTTCGCACAGGGCGAGGCGTACAAGGGCATGCGTAAGTCGTGCAGAGAGGAGAAGATGTCACACAGCGGAGCGACAATACTTTTCTCCGCTTCCATGTGCTCCCGTTCCTCCGCAGTCATCCCATCGTGGACCAAGAAAGGCGAGCCCGTCCGTGCTTCTGGTCTGCCGTGTCACGTCGTCTGTGGCCAAAAGGGCCACTTCCCATGCCCCTTCCTGGCGGAAGTTCAGCACACTGTGTGGGGAGGCAAGGTCAGTAATCAACTTACACACCGCCGCGAATACCAAGATGAGCCACCCGCCCCCCATACAATTGGTTTATTTTGCGTACGTGCATCTGGATGTCTGCAAGGTCTTCCACGTGGACCATCACACAGGGATGACCACGCTGGAGAACGTCCGCACCTTGGGCGGCAAGACCATCACAGCAGAGGTGTACGAGAACGAAGGCTCCAAGAAAGATGGCAGGCCTTCCGTGATCTTCGACTACTCCAAGAGCCTTGTCGCCACCGTCAGCCAAATCATCGATGAGATCAGACTGGTCAACAAGGACACCCTCCTCTATCTCGGTTCAAAAGAGGATGTGTCCATAGAAGAGAAGCAAGATGTCTATCGGTGGTGTCTCCGTCTGCTTGCAGGCAAGAGCTATATGATACAAGGAATGGGGAAGGAGCCCGTCTTGCTCGCGTATTTCGCCCTGGAATTCGACGCATTGGTCGACAAAAAATGCGACCACATTGTGGTACTGACAGAACTGACAGATTGGTGGTGGCACTCCATGCAGCTCAATATCCTCTGCGTGTCAGGTTGGTGGCGGCGCTGCGGGTACCGGCTTGGCGTTCACTCTCGCAGAGAGCGGCTACGATGTCTGCATTTACGAGCGAGGCGACTACCGCACCAAAACCTACCCGGGCCAGACGATCGACGGATTCAGCGTCAGTGAGGGAATGCCACCAGGAGTCGAGACACCGCCGTGATGAGTGTCCTGTACGCTTCTGTCTGTTTGCAGGATACTCTGGTCTATCCCAAGATCGGCCAGATATACATCACGACCGAGGGTGTCCGCTCACATGTGGCCAACATTCTCTCGGGCGGAACCGCTCTCAGGTAGGCAAGAAAGACTGTGCATGTCCCCATGTGGGGTGCGACACGACACGAATGGGGCTCATTCCTCCATCATCAACCGGCTCCTCTCTCAGTGCGGGCATTCACATTGAAGAGGAGCCCGACTACTACCGCTACGTGGAGAGAGAGTTCAGCACCAAAAAGGGTAAAGTCGAATTCTATCAAGACCTCGTTGACGAGGTGAGATGAGCATATACATATCCGTGAGATGCCTGCATGCACCGAAGTGGGTTGATGTCTGTCTCTCTGTGTCTGTCTGTCTGTCTGTCTCTCTGTCTGCCGGCTTGCCTGCGTCCGTCCACTTATGCCAGGCTTTCGAGTGGATCGAGAAATCGCTGCCCGCCGACCTCGTGAGCTATGATCCCGCCTACACTCCTCACTACCTGGAGGCCCTTATCGCTGCCGGCTTGGGGCCAGACCGCGGCTCCAACAGAAAGGTGCCTCTCGGCGCCGTGCGCGCGGGCAGGTATATATTGGACACAAGTCCATCGGCGGAATTAAATTGTTGTCTTCCGTCCCTTGCTCGCTCTTCTTCCTCTCCGTCAGTTTGTTTGAAAACGATGGAAAGGAAATGTCGCCCCACCGAGAGCGCCGCGGAAGTGACGTGCTGCTGTGGGCGGGGGATCCCTCCAAGAACGGGGGATCTCTGACGGTCAGAGTGCGGCAGACCGTCCTGGAACTCGAATTCGACCATGATAGCATGAAAGGCGCCAAGGACAAGAAGGGAGGCAGGCCGAAGGCAGTGTGCATCATCTACGCCGACTCGCCGGACAAACTTCCTCTTGAGGACTCTTTGGCCAACCAGATGGGCATCAAAAAAGTGCTCACCGACGAGGAGAAGCCCATGAATCGGAAGAGGCAGTGTGTGAGCCCGGGAGGCGAGATATGGATGGCCGCGGGGGCCGTGCTCTCGCCTGTGCTGATGATGCGCAGTGGTGTCGGGCCTAAGGATGTGGTGGACAAGCTCATGGCCAACCAAGGCAAGGAGCCCGTCATGTACATGGAGGAGCTGGGCAAGAAACTCTTCGACCGCAACTTTGTCCCCCTCTCAATGTTCCTCAAGACCCCATCCCCGGCCACCATCATCTCCTACGCCGCCATGCAGCTCGTCGGCGATCACTGCCCGGACGACAAGCACGGCAAACATGACACACTGCTCGAGTAGGCAATCTTGATTATCAATCGGAGCAGCACAAGAATGCACGATGACCTGCCTGGTGGGTGGGTGTGCATGTCTCACTGATCCCGCTGTCTGTGGTGGGATGCGTGCAGCATTGGTGAGACAAGCAAACACTGCACGTACATCAACCAGGAGGAGGTGCACGGCGGCAACACGATCCGCGGCCTGATCATGGCAACCCGAGCGCCTTTCCCGCCCCACCTGAGAAGCCTACCGTAAGCCAAAACTGGCACATGCACACACGCGCTGCATGCGCATATCTTGCCCCAGTGAGGTTGACTTTCTCGAGTACCTCCTCCTCGAGTGCGTTGACAAGGAAAACAGCGTCATCTGCGCCCCGGTGAAGCCACTGCTGCGCTGCCTGGGGTGAGTCTGCCGGCCAGCCAGCCAGCACCCACTACAAACACGTCGACAGACACCCAAGCAATGACGACGGACAGAAAAAAGCAGACGAGCGCTCCCTCTTTCTGCTTGTGTGTCTTGTTGTTTCATCAAGGAAAGCCGCGGGCACTTTCGGGTTCTCTGCGGTGGTCAAGTCGCGCGGCTACGTCACCGTCAATGAGCACGGTTAGTGAGACAGACAGAGAACGCATGAGCGAAGACATACATGTACGTACGGTCACCCGCCAAAGGAATACACATAACTGTGTCTGTGTCTGTCTGTCTGTGTGTCGTTGCAGGCGATCCGGTCGTATCGGGTGGCTATTACAACGACCCAGAGGGCCACGACCTCTTTGCCGCAGTGGAGGCACTCAAGAGATCCATCCGCATGGCCGGCAGGTGACCATACATACCACACAGATGGATGGCGGGGGATGAGTGCACACACATACGAATGTGATGAAATCGATGAGCTTATCTGTCTTGTCTTGTCTTGTGGGTGCAGCGGTGCGTTTGACGACATCGTCGAGAAGAAGACGAGCGTCGGCTGCCCCGCCGTGTACCTCAGCACGCTCCTCAACCTGATCGCCCTGGCAGGCAGACGCCTGCCCGGCGGGGGTTTCTTCACAGTAAGTAAACAGATGGACACCTCGCCTCGCCTCGACGCAGCCACGACGTACTTCCCTCGTTCGTTGATCAGGATTGGGAGACGATTCGTCGCAACATCATTTGGACTCCGGGCGAGGAGGAACCTCTCACGGCCTTCCTGGGCGAACGCGGTCGCAAGCTGATGGCCGAGGACCCTTTCGTGTCGTTTCTGCACGGAATCCGCGACAGGGTGCTGCAATTCCGGGAGGCTTTGGGCCTCGACAAGGACTCCCCCGGCTGGCTGGGCGACGAGTCACCCGCCGCCAAGTGGCTGTTGGAGGAGATTGAGAAGGCCAATGATCCCCCCAAGAGACGCGAGATGGCCTGCGACTTGGACAAGTGGGGCAAGCCTTCGGGGCCGGAATGCGGCGACATGACGTTGGAGGAGATGCAGATCGAGCACGCCAAGGACATCAACCTCTTCCCGCCACTCCCCAAAGTCATCAACGACCACACCCTGGCCGAATACGTCAAGACGCACGGAAGCTCCATTTGGCACTGGACCGGGTGAGTGGAGTGAGTCGAGAGGGCCGAGCGGGGGGGTGGACAAGAATGACACTTACACGCCCTCCGTTGGTGGATGTCATGTGCAGATCGGCACCGATGGGCACCATAGTTGACAGCCATTTCCGCGTGTTCGACATGGATGGGCTCAACATCTGCGACGCCTCCATATTCCCCGACGTACGTCGCGTCGGTCAATGCACGCGACACATTGGATCTTTCCCCAATGAATATCAATGTGTCTCCTCCCTCCCTGCGTGTGTTTCGACAGATCACCCGCATGAACGTGCAGGCGCAGGTCAGTGAGCCAGCGAGCACTGCAGCATGAGACATAAACGGATGCTGACGCGACACGTCCTGGTTCTCTGCTTGCAGTATTTCATGGTGGGGCGATACTGCGGCTTGGTGCGGCGCAAGAAGGAGGGGTGGGGCGGGCCACACCATGGCCACGATGGCCACCACTGATTCTGAATCCGCCGGCTGCTGCCCCTCTCCCCATACTCACTCACTCTAGCCCGTCTTCACATTAAGTCGTGCGCCTGTTTGCTATAAGGGCGTGTATCTTGTCCTCCTCCTTTGATTGTCTGCTGCTTAGTGCTGTCTGAGCCAGGTCAATAATCATAAGGCCATAAATAACGTATGTAGAACGAATGGGTTTTAGGGGCAGTCACTAAGCTGGCTTGAACGAGGCTTGAATGGGGAGGGGCGCGCAACCGAGCATCTGCTGAGTGGGCCGGTTGCTATATTCTGCCTGCAAGTGAAGTGGATTTGCAGACCTTTGCAGACCTTTGCAGACCTTCGCTGGGATATTGCGGACTCGTGTGCTGTTCAAAAAACGCTGAGTCTGGCTGAGGTGCGTGGTCTGCACATTGATTCCTTCACATGAAGGCCTCGGCTCTCTGCACACACGTATGTGTGGAGATGTGTGTAATTGTGTATCTATGTCCCTCCCTCCCTTCCCCTTGGCCCACCGGCCGACACACAAGTACATCCATCCATCCATCATTTCTGCCTGCCTGCCTGCCCGCCTGCCTGGAGACACGTCGCATAAGTTACCCACAGTCATGAACCACACAAATGTATACGGTCGGTCAGTCAGTCACGTCAGCGCATGCACCCAGCCATGCATGGCCTGGCAGGACCTACCACCCCACCTCAACAAAGCACCCTATCGATCTCGGTCGGCGGCAGGGAAGCTTCTCCAGCTGTCTGTCTGTCTGTCTGCCTCTCAGTCGTTTGTCCACTGGCTGGCTCATCCGATAGATCGATTGATCCATCAGCCATGATGTCCATGGCCTCCCCTGCCCGCCGCGCGCGCCGATCCACTCGCCGGCGTGACGCAGCCCAAATACGCACTCACGTCTTTGCTGTTGCTGTCCTTGCTGCCTGTGTCGCCCAGGCCCCCCTCCCCCCGACCGCCCTCGTGCCGGCTGGCTTCCTTCTCGCTATCTTTGTCGATCGTCCTGCGTCGGGGCAGCAGCAGTGGGGGCGGTGGGATGACCCTTTCCCTTTGGTCGTTGTCGTCGTCGTCCCTCCCCAGCAGCTCCCGGTGTGTGGTGCCTTCGCTCCACGAGAGGGACCTCTTGATGAGCGGAAACGACGACGGGTGGGGCGGGGTGGGGCTGTCGAAGGGCGACAACAGCTCAGACATCGACGAGAAGCGTCGGAACTCATTAATCAGCTTGGCGCGCCGCGCTTGACGGTCCGACGCTGAATAACGGCCGTGCACAATCTGCTGCTGGTGGCTGGCCTGGAGGGGCAGCATGGTGCTCTCTGTCTGCTGGGAGGGAGAGGTGGGCGGGTCGGTGCAGCTGCGGGAACACGCGTGTCGATCGGTTTTCGGGGGTCGCGTCATGTCGTCGTCCAGCTGCTGGCCGGCGTCATTGCCCACCCTGCGGCCACCTCGCTTGTTGAGAAACAGGCAGCTGCACACGAGCGGCTTGTCGTCGGTCGGCACGGTGCCCTCTCCTTGGTCGCTCCACTCACTGCTCTCATAAGCGTATTTGCCCCACAAGTGCCGCTGGAACCGCCGCAGCAAGAGAAAGAGGACCAGCATCAGCAGCACGGCCGCAATCACCGATCCGATCGCAATGGCCACTGAGGCGGCTGTCTCCTGGCCGGGCGACAGCTGCACCGCCTGACGACTCCTTTTGCCGTCGTCGGGCGAACGGTGAGGCTGTGCAGGGTGAGAGGGCGGCAGAAAAGAGGACGATGGCTGCTGGGAAGCGACCTTGGAGCTGCTGATGGTCATGGTGGCGGAGGGGGGGAGAAAGGCCGACAGAGAGGCGCGTAGGACGCTCGACGGCTCAGAGACTCCGGCACTCAACCCTGAGCAAAGAGGCACACAACACAGAGAGAGATGACGGGACACTCGTCAGCGGTCAGGTCTCTTACTGGTGGATATGGCTGTTGAGTTGAGGCGAGCTGGCCCCTGTGTCGGACCAGGCGCCTCACTGCCGTCACCGGCCGAAGCGGACGGCACCACGATGACAGCCATCTCGGTGTTGTTGGTGGGGGTAGACGGGGCGGGGGGCTGGATGGGGGCGTTGTGGCTGACGGTGAAGGTCACAGACAACGGATCGCTCTCCTTGACCTTGTCGACTGTCACGTGCTCACGCTCGATCGAGAGCGTCTGCAGTCAGTAAGGTAGGCGCCAGACACAGAGGGAAGGGAACGGACACAATCGGCATGCTGCTGCTGTGGATAGATACCTGTGCCAACTCACCTCCGCCACGCCGCTTCGGATCGCCTCTTTGAGTCCCGACACGTCCGCCCCCTCTCTGATGGGCTGGTCAAACGTCACTGTGTAAGACGACCTGTCCTTGTCCTTGTTCCCCCCCATTCGGCCGTCTCGATCTCCGCTGCCAATGACGCCGCGCACAAAGTCCACCGTACGGTTGAGAAGGTCAGCGAAGGCACCTGGGGGCACGTCCTCCTCGCTCTCGCTTGCCCGCGAAGACGTGCCGCTGCCGCTGCTGCTGCTGGTTTGTGGCTGCCCTTGCTGCGGTTGTTGTTGACCCTCCGACTCCTCTGTCAGCTTGTTCTCTTTGATGGTGTCATTTTCGTCCTTCTTGAGGTCGAAGAGGTCAGCGAAGAGGTCAAGGCCGCCCGCGATGAGACCAGCAAACCCTCCGCCGCCCTCGCTATCTTGGTTATGCCTCTCTCTCCTCCTCTCACCCCGAGCTCTCGGTGCGGCGGCCTCCAGCACCTCTGCGTCACGTTCCTCGTTCACAAATGCATCGTCCTCTGTCGCGACGGCCGTTGGGACGGTAGGTTCGTCGCCCGGCTCCTCGTCCAACAGCAGAACGTCACCCTCCTCCTCAGAGTCTCCTGTGGTGCCGCCCTCATCTGCCTCATCGAGGGGGGCAGCCGTCGTCGCCTCTTCTGGCGCAGATGACACTGCCTCTCTCTCGGCCATAGTCTCAGCCATAGCCGTGTCCTGGATGTCGTCATCGTCGCCCCCACTCTCGGGCATCGACTGTCCGTGAAGCGGCAGCTGCTCTGCCCCTACTGAAGCTGACGCTGACGTGGCTGGCGACAAGGCTGCAGGCGGAAGGACGGCTGCAGGGGGAGCAGGGTCAGCAGCCTGTAACTGTGAGGACTGCTTGGCTTTGATTGGCAGAGAGGGATACGCCGGCATTGGGACACTGCCGGCGGTGCCGTCGAAGTCGGGCGGTACGGGGGCCGAGAAGGACATGTCGTTGTCGCCCTCGTTCTCTGGTCTCTGCAGCTGGCCAGCGACTGAGTCGAGGGTCGAGTCGACAACCAGTCCAAGCCACTCCCCGCCGCTCTGCGGTCCACCACCCCCGGCTCCTCCGCCCGACGCTTCCGAGACCTCGTTGGTGACCTGACCGACGACCTCCATAAACCTGTTGAAGAGCTCCTTGCGGTCCACGTCGCCCCGCTTGCCCTTGCCGACGCTGCTCGAGGCCTTCTCGTTCTCGCTGCCAGCGAACCAAGCCGCGGCCCTGTCCTCGTAGCCCGGCCTGTCCTGGTCCACGGACAGGGCGAGGGGAGAGGGGGAATCCTGGTCCTCCTCTTGCTTCTTGCGTCGCTGGTCATCCCGACCCCCTCCTGCTGTTTTGTTGTCCTCCTTGGTCGTGGAGCCGTCGCCGCCATCCCTGTTGAGCACTGCCGCGAGCTGCTCCTCGAGTGAAGGGCCCTTTTCGCCTTCACTCCGGGCTGCTGCCGTGGCGGCGCCCGCTGAGGTCATTGAGTATGGCTCTTCCTCCTGCTTGTTGTGGTGCCTCTCTCTCTCCCTGGCACTGTAGCTGTTGTCCCTGTCTCGCTTGGCGCCACTCTCCTGCTTGCGCCTTGGGGGTACGGCGGGGGGCGTGACTTGTGACGCCATGTCGCCGGAGTTGTTGGGGTTGGTTAGCAACGCCGCGTCGGCTGGGGCGGATTGGGGCGATTGGGGCGATTGGGGCACTGTGGGCAGCTGTTGCTGTTGCTGCTCCTTCTCCTGCTGTAGTAGCTGTTGTTGCTGTTGCTGGGCGGGGCTGCTGCTGCCAGTGACCTCCTGAATGAATGAAGTACGTGGACACACACACACACGGACACACAAGTAAAATGGTGGGGCCGGTTTGGTTTTTCGTGGTGCTCACTGACCTCCAGCAGCTTGGCCATGCCGCCCATCAGCCGCGTCATGTTGCGAGCAGGCCGGTGGTCACCCTAAAGGAAGAAACCGCGTACGCAACAAAATGCATCGCTCGGTTAGTGCCCGGCGGCTCACCTCGTTAGCCAGCCTTCCTCTTCGCTTGGCGGGTTTGGCAGCCGATGTGCTCTTCTCTGCCATCATATGAAGTCACACAGGCCACATGGAACGACCATGATGTCCAATCTGTGCGGCTTGTTTATCTTTGTCTGTCGGTCTGTCTGACTGTTTGTCTGTCTGCTCTTGCACGATATGCATGGCGCCACCGACTGACCTCTGAGGGCGAATCCGGCGATGGCATCGACGGCGCTCGTGACGCCCTGCCCGATAGCCGCCGCCAGCTCCGACGCTTGTGTGTCGGCCGGCTCATCAGCCGGCGCAGACTCGATGATCAAGAGCCACGACAGCAGCAACGTCCACACCAGCATCATCATGTCATGTACGCCAGTGGAGGTCTTCAGGGCATGCCTGGCTCTCACTTGCTCTCCTGTTCTTCCCACACGGACACTCCACTTCATTCGGCATGCGCCGTTGGAGAGTTTAGGGCTCCCGTCAATCAAAACACATGAATCCTGGCCAACTGTGCCAGGCATGGCTGTCGCTTGTGCTCTTCCCCGTCGTGTTTGTTTGCTGCGCGAGCATGCCTTCCCCTCCTGCGGCGCGCGTTGGCCACCCCACCGAGCGATGCACCTTGCACAGGACATCGTGATGTGGCCGTGGCCACGGCCGAAGACGGACACTCGTGGAAAGGTCTTAGGTGGTGTATGGCGTACGGGCGGGTGGGTGCGTACGCCTGTGTGTCTGCAGCAGGCCGAGAGTGCTACATAGTATGGTATGTGAGATCGACATGAGCCCACTGCACGTGGATGAATTGACTTCAGCCCGCTGGTATGTACACACATGCGTCGCACCGCACACCAGAGACACCCACACCCACAACCACACTCGCACCCCACCCCTTTACTCAGCCCCGCTCTGCTCTCGTCCGCCTTTTACACCACCCGGCTTTGTCTGTCTATCTGTCTGTCTGTCTGTCTGTCTGTCTGTCGGACGCCCTAGCTACGCCCACTTGTTCCGCTCGACAAAGTGCACGAGCGCTGGATCGTCCACTGACACCGGTGGCAGATACTCACCCTTGTAACGCCGATGCCACCAGTCACCTGTCATACACAGCACACAGAGCTCAGACAGATCCTTTGCAGACTGATATATGCGTCTTGGTGCGTGTGTGTCACCAGCGTAGCGTACCTTTGCCGAACCATCCGGTCTCTTTGGGTTTGGTGTACCGGTATTTGTAGTGTGAGGCCCTCACGAAGGTGGGCGGTTGGTCGGGGAAGGGGTTGTGCGCCATCAGGCGGAGGACCGCTTTTTCGTTCTTCAGCAGCTTGTATCCGAGGTGCACCAGCCAGGGGTGCTGTTTGTAAGATGAAAAGGCCGCAAACCACTGCAGGGGCGACGCCAGACAGACAACAGGACAGTTCAGGTGCCTTGGGTGTGGGTATGGGTGTGGGTATGGGCGTGGGTGTCAAGTGACATACCATCAGCCAGTCCAGTCTGTAGTGGTAGGGCGAAATGATGCATGGCCGACGATCGACCCTGCCCGGCTTGCATATGAAGCCATACTCCTGCCACACGGCCTCAGGGTCATCCTGCCACGCACCAGGCACACACACACACACAAAGGCAGTTGATGGCTGGCTGTCGGTGTGTGTGTGCACCGGTCGATGCCCCCTGACTTGACTTGGCTTCACTTGACGTGCATACCGGTCGTGTGGCGTTGGTGCCCTCAAAGATCACCTCTGTGCGCTGTTTCGTGACGGAGCCGAATGCCCCGTAGGTGTTGACAAGCCTGAACCGATCGAAACTCGTGTTCATCATCTGCACGAAACGCGCAGGCCACGAACCACACAGCAGCAGACCCAGGGTGAGCGCCTTGTGCGTGCCGGCTCTCTCTCCCTCCCTCCCTCCCTCCCTGGATCCATCCCTCCGTCGCCTACTTGTCGAGACGATATGAGGTTCTGCACGACCGGTCTAGAAAGCTTGAAGAGCAGCACAAACACGCCCACCTCCACACACGTCCGCAGCACGCTCACCGCCACCAGCCAGACAGCAGCGCCGGGCCTCCTCTTCTCCCCCGCTCTCCCCTTCACAGCCCTCCCTCCCCCCTGCTGCTGCTGCTGCTCACGAGACTTTCTCTGCTTGTCAGTTGTGGTTTTCTTGGCATCTGCCTCTGGGGGCGTCTCGTGCGCCCCACCGTTAGTGCTGTCCTCTCTCCCGGCCGCAGTGGTGCGCCTGCGCTGCCGCAGCTGGCCAGTGGGGGTGACTGAGAATGCCGTTGGGTCGCTTGCAGGGCCAGGAGGATGCTCGTCGCCTGAGGCGTGTGTCGAGTGGGTGTGGCTGGACTTGGCCGATGGCATGGCGGGGAGGGGCGGTGGCGGTGGCGGCGACTTGCCTGATGTGAGCTGGCGCACTCGGTCCACTGTGGCCTTGGGGAAGAGGAAACTGCCATCTCACAGTCATCCATCCATCCATCCATTGGGGTATGTGATGTGTGGGGGCGTCTGCGTCGTGGCAGGTGCCGCACCTGAGTGAGAGGTCGTCGAAGCAGAAGATTGCAGGCAGGATCGTCAGCCAGTTAAGGAATGAGAGGTTGCCGGACACAATGAGCATCATCTGGAAGAGAATCTGACACACCACACGGCAATACACACAGATAGACTGTCGTCCTCCCTCCCTCTCTCCCTCCCTCTCTCCCTCTCCCTCTCCCTCCACCCACGTACTCACCTGGACGGCCCCGCCAAGGAGTCGGCACTGTCGGAGTGGAATGAGCAGGTTGAAGGACAGGCAGCACTCCACGATGTGGTTGACCAACGTCTCAGCCCAGTGGAACTCCTGCGGATTGTGGTGCAGATACCTGCAGGCAGAACAGAACACGACAGGCCACCCACACCACACCCACGAATACGTTATGTTTCGCATACATAAAGTCGAGGCGTCCGTCGAGCAATGGACGAACGTACCACGAAACGGGGTTTGGGACGGGCTGCGTCTGATTGATGGTGATGGTGGGCCGGGTTAGTTGTCGACATCGATCAGATCGATGGACACACACACCAGGGAGGAATGGAGTGCAAGGCAGTGGCTGGCATGGCGCACATACATCTGACCTGCCTTAGCCTCTCACCTGGTAGTGGTACCTGCACGCAGACACACACACACACACACACATCCATCCATCCATCATTACAGGGTGTCACTGATACCTACTCCATACAGGTCAGGTCGCGCCAGCACGGGTCCCCCCTAATGTGAATCAAGCCACACAATCCATCCCGTCAACCGAGTGATGACTGACTGACCCGCAGAACACCCACATACACACAGACAGGTACCTGAGCTTGATCAGGCCGGCCCCCAACATAATACGAAAGATGAGCCATCTGCAGATCAGCGCAGCCACACATGGGTACCCGGGGTGCTCACGTACGATGCATCTCTCACGTGAACGAACAGTTATGTAACGGTGCCTAGATTAATCACTCTCACCTGTATCCCCATATGCACACGAGCGGCGTCGGCCAGCTGCTCGGCAGTCTCGTGAAGCCCCATGCCAGGGGGCACAGAAAGACTGCATAAACGGGCAGACAGACAGACAGACAGACAGGCCGACGCTCCCTTCTGGAGTGACTGACGGCCACCTCATCTCACCAACCCATCCCCGCTCACTTGCGAGGAATCCCGACTCGAGCAATTGCGATTCCCATCCAAAGGAATACCATCGCTGGCCGACGTTGACGATAGAATGATACAGTCCCCACAGCGCCGCCATCAGCCAGCACGGGCCGCCACCCACAACCACCAGCACCACCGACAAAGCCACGCCAGCCCATGCCACCAATGCCAAATTGAGGCTCGAACACTCAATGAACAGAAAGATGGACGGCACCTCGGCTACCCGCTGGTACCAAGGGAGCCCCTCCAGCTGCTGCTTCACTTGGCTCATGTAGGTGCGTGCCGGCAGCAGACCGGAGGGCCCGATGAGGCCGTCGTTCTGAAGGGCCGCGACGAGGAAGGCGACGCAGTAGATGAAGCCGATGAACCGCAGGAAGACGATTCTTGTCAGCCAGAAGGAGCCACGCAGCTCAGACTGGGGCGCCAGCGCCCTGAGGCCATCGATGATGGGCGACATACGCCGCTGCGCTGTGTTTCGAGAACTCATTCCCCGTCAGACGTCGACGGTGATGGATGGATGGATGGATGGATGGATGGAGCGCGAGTCAGATCTGACTTCAAGAACTCACAAGCGCCAACCCAGATCTCACTCGAAGACGGCTCTCCTCTCGCGAATCAAAGGCTATTCCATATAGCTGCTTGTTCTGTGCGCCGCCTTCATCCCGACGAGGAGCGCCGCGGCACCATCCCTCCTTCTCCTCCTCCTCCACGTCGCGTGCGAGCTTGAGAGCAAGCAGAGACCGAGAAGCCATCTGCCCCGTTAGATTGATTCATCGTCGGCTGCCCGTGCGTCGGTGTGCGTCGATGGCGAGCATCCGGAAGGAGACGGAGAGGGCGGTGGTGCAGTTCGGTGTGAACGTGATAGGCTTCCTCTTCATCCTCTGCATCTACTACAACTACGTCATCCTCCAGGGCTACTTCTACGCCCTCTTCTGGGCAATCATCCTCAGCATCCCCCTATTCAGCATCAAGACCACCATCATGGACGTGCTGGCTCTCGAACACGACACGCACCAATACGGGTCGTCATCAAGCATCACCTACGTCCAGCAAAGGGTGGTGGCACCGCCGCCTGTGCAGCCGGTGCCAATGGCACAACGGCAGAGAGAAAGGTCGAGGTCGCCGCGGCACTCGCAGTCACAGCCAGAGGCCCGGCCATCCCTTGTATCGCCCGGCAAGCGCCCCAACAACGGATCTGGCAGCGGCTCGTGGACAATGTTCATCATCTGGCGCATCCTGGTGCTGCTGTTCGAGCCCGTCTGGGGGCTCATCAACGGCGTCGAGAGCCGGCGCGCGTCAGACCCGTACTTCGGGGTGTTGTGGCGCAGCGTCATCACGCTCAAGGCGTGGCAGTTTATCTACTTTTATCGCGAGACGGTGGTGGTGGCTGGGTGCACCGGGGTGGCCATGTTTGTGGGGATGCGGTTCATCCGGTCGTCGGCCGTCGTCACCGAGATCAAGTCGTACATCCAGTCGCTGCTGCAGTCGATCCGTATACTGCTCTCCTGGCTGCCTCTCAACGAGATACTCGTCGTGTGCGTCATTGTGGGCTCCATTCTCGGATTCATGGCCATTGTCGGCTTCTTCGCCTTTCAGCTCGGTAGGTAGCTAACACAACATAACACGCCCACAGAGACAGACACCCACAGAGAGAGAGAGAGAGAGGGGAGTGCACTCGATAGATACCCCGTATAGACAGACACCTTTGTGTCTGGCTGTCCCTGTGTGGTGCAGCCCAGGAGAGCGTGCAGCTGTGGGAGCTGATCAATCGGTTTTTCCGTTCCAACATCTTCGAGAGCGCCTTTTGGCAGGACAACGTCATCACGACCGTCGACTGGGCCTACAGCAACCTGGACATCGGCGGGGAGGACCTCACCGTCAAGAAGGGCTACGATCAGCTGGCCGAGTGGATCAAGAACACCGCCCTCCAGCAGCTCACGGCCATGGGCATCAACATCGACATGTACAGCCAGTACTACTTGCTCTTCACACAGGCCCTCACCGCTGACTACCCACACAGTGTGGCACAAGACGGAGGAGGAGGACCACCACAACAACCAGTAGGGGCAGCAGGGGCAGCAGGAGCAGCAGCCAGACAGGCGCCGCAGATCCCCCACCCACACCGACACTCACACACCAATCGGACGTCATCCACACCCACCATCGGCGCAGGGCACGCCCCCTTCATCCCCTTCTCCCCCTTCCACCATCACCACCAAGCAGACAGGCGGCCGCATGGCCATGGATGGATGGCCCCCGCACCCCAAGCACCCCAAGCGGCCCAACCAGGCGACCAACCGCCAAGGGCAGCCGAAAGCGCCCAGGTGCCCAGTGAGCCGGGCCGCAGCGGCAGCCAGCCGGAGTGTGACGACGACAGTCCAGAAGGGTGTGGCGAGCCGCCCACGGCCGACAGCAAGCCGAGTGCCGGCCAGCAGGACAACGTGTCGTCGCGTGTTGCGGCTGGGGGCGGTGTGAGGGGCGGGGGAGGAGGTGGCGGGCCGGCGACGACGTCGATATCGATGTCAGAGTTCTGGGGCCGATTCCCCACCACTCTCGAGTTCGTGTCGGAGCTGCGCCGGGGCAACATCACCGCTATCACACAAATCAAAAAGGTGAGTGACCGACACGCACGCCGACCCGACTCTCTGTGTGTGCGGTGAGGTGATCATGTAGCATGTAGCATGTACCACTGAATGTGCGTTCGTTGTGTTGTGTGCGGCGGGCGTGTCAGGTGTGGCGAGAGCTGTCAGACAAGCTGCTGGAGGGGACGACCAGTGAGGTGCAGGAGTGGGTCAACAGCATACAGTCATACCTCCACACCATGGTCTCGGGCGTCGTCGGAACCGGGTCGGCGCACACACGGACAGACAGACAGACAGACAGACAGGCAGCTTGCGAGAGAGGCAATGGTCTCATCTCACCATCATCCATCCATCGATCCATCCATCCATTGTGGAGTGCAGGTCTTACCCGATGCGTTTCCTGACGTTCGCGGCGATGCTGCTCTATCAATTCTGCGTGTCCGCATTTGACATGGTCTTTCAGGTCAGCCCAGACACCGATGGCACGCACCAACACACAGAACATCTATCCATTGTGTCGCCTGTCTGTCTGTCTGTCTGTCTGTGTATCTCTGTTTGTGTGTGTGCAGGCACTGACCTTCTTCACGGCTCTGTACTACCTGCTCACCCCGCGTGTGTCGTGCCTCAACTACCTAGAGCAGGTGGGGGGCTCTCTGCGGGCGGCCAGCGGCCGTCCGCACGGCCGACTGTCTCTCTCTCTCTCTCTCTCTGTGTGTGTGTGTGTGTGTGTGCAGCTCCTGTCGCTGGTGGATCCCTCCCAGCTCATCTACGGCTGCATCGAGGGCGGCTTCAGAGCCATCCTCGTGTCGTCCATGAAACGCTGCCTCTTCTACAGGCAGGCAAACAACACTACACACAGACACAGACACAGACACAGCAGAAGCTTCGACCGACCAAATCTCTCTCTCTCTCTCTCCCTCTCCCTCTGTCTATCTGTCTGCCTGTCTGCCTGTCTGATCAGCTTTTACACGTGGCACATCTTTTGTTGGTTCGACGTGCCGATAGTGTTTGTGCCGACGGCTTTCGCGGTGCTGATAGCCCTGGTGCCCATCATCCCCCCCGAGGTGGTGACGCTCCCCGCCGTCTTCTACCTGTGGTTCCACGCCAGGCGCATCGCTGCTCTCGCACTCCTCTCCATCACCGGGTCAGTCAGTGAGGCGGTCGGCCGGTCGGTCGGTAGATAGAAAGATGGTCTATTGTGTGTATCTACTATCTTTGCTGGGGCGGATTGTCTGTCTGTCTGTCTGTGTGTATGTCTGTGTGTGCAGGTACGTGTATTGGTACGTGACGACGGCCATCTACGCGGAGATCCCCGACTCCAACCCCTGGCTGGTGGGCCTCTCTGTGGTGCTCGGCATATGGGCTCTCGGGCTCAAGGGCGTCATCGTAGGTACGCCTGACGCACCCACCCACCCCACCAGCCCGCCCGTCCGTCCGTCCGTCTGTCTGATGTGGGATGGATGAATGAATGAATGAATGATGCAGGCCCGTTGATCGCCTCCATCCCAGTGATTCTGTACAACATCGTGGCGCGGTACAACGCCAATAAGCGGCGTGAGACCCGCGCTATCAAGCGGCGGCGCGTCCGGCGGGCCACCCGGCGCATCTACCACTACCGCATGGCGTATGCCCACCCCCATCCCCACCAGATGCACCACCCCATGTACCACCCCGGCGGCCCCTACTCTCACCACTTGCACATGGCCATGCGGTCGTCCACCATGCACCCAGCAGGGGCCAGGACGGGCTTGAGGGCGGCGTCGGTGGACAGCACCACTGGGGGGTCGCCCAGGCCACCCGTACCCACCACCTCCACACGCAGAGAGGATGGAAGGCCACAGGTGGGTAACCAACGATACGATCGGAGCGACAGAGAGACGGAGAGAGAGAGGGAGGGAGGCAGGCATCGTTTCTCGATGAGGACATGACATGAATGTGTTGTCTTCTTTCCTTCTTTGTCCATCCATCCACCGATGGACCAGAGTGTTGGGAGTTCCTCTGACGGCCTGGTCCTTACGGGTGGTGTGCCACTCGCCTCTGCTGAGGCCACCGATGACGCCACGACCCTCTCAGGCCAGCAGAGCCCAGAGGCTGCTGCCGCTGCTGCTACTGGCGGCCACACCAATGCACCCTTCAAGTAGGCCCGGGGGCAATACACACACACAGATGGATAGATAATCCTCTGTGCCGTGTTTGATATATGCCTGTGCAGGCTGCTGGTCCCCAGAAGGCCGTCAAAGGCGTTGCGCAGCGCCAACCTGGGCCGGCTGCTGGCCACGCCCCCCAACCAGCGCGCCACAGCCCTCTCCCAGAGCCGACCGCCGCGGCTTATGCCCGCTGCTGACCATCCCTCAGACCGCCGTGGGTCTGGTGCATTCCTGCGCCTGAGGAGCAGCGACGCTTGCATGAGCACCCCATCGAACAGCCCGCTGCGCACCGGGGTTACTACTGGGTGGGTGGCCCTTGAGAGTGAGGGCGGGCATGAGCCGCCGGGTAGTGGTGGTGCTGGTGGCGGGGGTGGGCCTGTGAGTGTGCGGCGGCGCGGGGGCGGTGTGGGTGGGGATTCGGATGGCAGACGTGTGGGAGAGAGGGCAGAGACCATCGAGTGACCGAAGGAAAAGCGACAATTGTGTGGAGTGGGGTGGATTGGATTGGATTGGATTTGTGTGAGGAGTAAATACGACTACGCAGACAGACTGTGGGTTTTGTTTGTCTGTCTGTTTGCGGTGGTGTTGGTGTAAGTAGTAGGTGGGGAGGGAGGCAGCTTGGTGGGGTGGGTGGGTGGGTGGGTGTAAAGAAGGAAAGATGTGAACGAGTCTCTAGGTAGGTATTGCGAGAGTGGGTGGCTGGGTGCTCGGCAGAACAGACAGACAGACAGACAGCATCTCATTCTGTGTACGTGTATTAAACGATTCATATTACTGCAGCTAGCTATTATCAACCACATCATCCGTCCACCCATCCATCCATCATCCATCCATCCGTCTCTGTGTCTCCGTCCATCACGAGAACCCATGCACGCGCCGCCTCACTTGGCTCTCAAAAACACCGACGCACACACACACACATGAAGCACCTACGCATGTCAGACAGAGATGGACAAATAAATACAGCAGCGAATCTCGCTGAAGTGTGGTGTGGTGTGCTGTGGTGTGGTGCATGTGGGTGGAGGCGCATTCTGCGCACACACATGCATCCCGCACGCCAGACAGACAGACAGACAGACACACGCAAAACCCCACGGCGCCACGTCCGTCCACAGTACAGACAGATGCACACTTACAAATGGTATGAGTGAACGCCCCGTAGGCCAGTGAGGGTCGAAATGACTGGCTGGGCAGCCCAGCCACCCAGCTGCCGTCCATCCATAAAGAGAAAGACAGTTCAACAGCCACTCCATCTGATTTGCCGTCCATCTACACGCATCAGCGCACACAGACGTATTCAGGCAGCCAGGCAGCCATGCAGCAGACAGGCAGGCAGGCACCACTATCATCACATCTATCAACTGAGTGGCGACGCTCACACCAACCCCC